GCAATGAGGGACAGTGGAGACTGTGGTGTTTTTATGATATATGGTTTCTTTACACAGTATTAACTTACAACATCAACACCCCATAGCTTTCCCTCTAGCCACAGCCTTGAATTTAAGCAGACTTCTGCTTGCTTCTAGTCCAGCTCACACACAACTCTGACTCTTGTGCTTCTCACTACCAACCAGGTGAGGGAGGGCCCCCCACTCATTTGCCCTCTGGCACAAAGCCACTTTCTTATGGTAACCCCCCCCCCATATTTATGGGCCCTTGGCTGCTTCATTCAACAGTGGGATCCTCCATTATATGTTAATCCTTGCTGGATCCAGGAATAGAATTGAACATTGCTTTTTAAATACCAAGGAATTAATGCAAGATAGCAAAGGAGCCCCAAATGGATAGAATAAACCTGCACTAGGCACTTTGAAGAGCTCAGGCCAGCTTCCAGATTAAGGATGGCTCCAGCAACATAATCAGGATTCCCAAATATTAACCTTTAAAAAAACAGTTTGAGTTCCTTCAGATGAACTCTTTATCAATTTCACTTTTTCTGCCCAAAGTGGAGGAGAAGAATTGACATGGAACGCCTTTATCATTCAGCCTGGACACTGAGATCCAGCTCCGAGGGCCTTCTGGCAGTTCCCTCACTGCAAGGAGTGAAGAGGGCCTTCTTGGTGGTGGTGCCCACCCTGTGGAATGCTCTCCCGTCAGTCGTCAAAGAGATAAGCAATTACACAACTTTCCATAGACATCTGAAGGAAGCCCTGTATCAGGAATCTTTCAATGTGTGATGTTCTGTTGTGTTGTATACCTTGTTGGAAGACACCCAGAGTGACTTGGGCAACCCAGCTAGAAAGGTGGGGGTACAAAAAATAAATTATTATCATTGTTAGAGTTGGTTCACACATTCTACCAGGAGGCATCTTTTTAGAGTAATCAAGTGAGGCAAAATCAAGAGATCACATACATGTGTGAACCAGCCCCAAGTCTAGGTGCAAAGTTAAATTGACCAAGCTTCTTCACGGCACTCCAAATAAAAAAAAACCCTAAAACTTAACAAAACAATGGGGCATTGCAGTAGAAGTAGACTTGCTGTAATAAAAACCATAATTTTATTTTATTTTATTTTATTTAATAAAGTTGTTATATATATATATATATATATATATATATATATATATATATATATATATATAATTCCCCAGTGACACACACACACACACACACACACACACACACACACACACACACACACTGGGGAATTATGCCACTTCTCATTGGTGGTGTAACAGGGATTGCTCCATAGGTCCTTGTGACAGACAGACAACCATCACATTACGATCTCAATATTTAGGAAAGAATAGCAGTTTTTCTAGTGACTAAATATTGCAATAGGAATGTTGAGAGAATGTGATTTTCTAGCAATAGATGTGCTGTCTTGAAACATAAACTCCAATTCTCCTGCAAAGAAACAAGCAATATGCTTGCATTTATTATATTCAGAGCAATCATACTGGAAAGTCTCTTTAAAACTGTGGACATGTGCAATGAGAGATGTACAAACTACCTAGCAAAACCATGATAATATGTAGAAATTAACAAAGGGGCACTGTCAATCTTTTGATCTACAAAATCTGGAAGAAAGAAGTTCTTTTTATATTACAGTATTGCAGTTCATAATTAAATATTCAGAAAGTTTCTTCCTCACAGTAAAAGACAGGCATTAGGAACATTCATATTCAGTTGTGAGATGTCAGCGTGTATATTTTGTATTAAATTTAGACTTCTCAGGAATCTTTATCTCTAAATAAGTACATTAAAAGAAAATAACAATTGCTTTCCATAATTTGTTCAACTAAGGACTGGCGTCTTAGTTTTGCTTTGCATTAGTTTACATTACTTTACATGCAAATAAAAGAACTGCAATACTTAAAAGGCTTGGATATAAATACTAATGTTTTTCATCTATATTCCAATCAGTTGAGTTGGTTACCATGGCAAACCACTGAAGCAAGGAGATGTTAAACTTGGAGATGTGGCATTTTACATGCAATTTGCAAGCATGCTGTTGAACTAGCAAAGAAATTATTTGAAAAGATGACAAAGAATGCAGATTTTAAATTTTTGAGAGCTTACAGCACATTCCAAAATGAGTGACTGTTTATTATTAGTACACAGAATGTTTTTATACATAAAGTGGTTTGTAATCACTATCGTGTTCATCTTCCTAAATCCCTTGTGGGACACTATTATTTTCATTCAGAAGACGAGGAACTGTGGCTGAAACAGTCAATTGAATTGTTTCCAGATGGCAGCTTATTGTGCAATCAGTGTTACTCATGTACACAAGTCTTTTTCAACATCTACATGACAATGTTGTCATCAGAATGCCATACCTTAATAATAATCAGTTTTCCCCTTACCATAGAAAATCCATAAAAAATAACCCATTATACTATATCTGCAGTCACTACTAGGGTGTAAACTCGATTGCGTGTTTTCTGTGGTGAGAAGTTTGTCACATGGGTGGTGACATTTCAGTCAGTGGTATCTAATTCAAACCCCTACTGCCATTTGCTCCTCACCTGTGAACCACCTAGCTATGTTGTTTGCGACAACCCACACAGTGTGCTTATTTCCCTTAATTGCTGCATGCTGAAGGCACTTTCAGATTTCAGCAACCAAGCCAGAAGGAGCTCTTCTCTCAAGATCTCCACACAGAACGTGTGGGATTCTGTTGGAGACTGTAATTGCAATGGTCTTAAAAATATTATTATTTAAATAATGCAGAGGTCTTACATGAGATTATTCTAGTGTCAGTCTTAGCTAAAGACTTAGCTAAAAATAAAATAGCCCTCTAGCACAAAACATCAATATTAACAAAACAAATGGAAATGGGTATTGCCCCTCCACCCAAAGGGCAACTTTCCGTTTTGCCTGTTGTGAAACATGATGACTAAGGCTGATAACATTTGCTCTTGTAGACTTCATTCTTCATGTAGAAATATTTGCATGTGTAGGCAGTACAGAAGGGTGGGGGAAGTAGTGGAGTTCAAGGGAAGAGCGACTGAGCAAACAAACATCCAGATAAATTCCATCCAGCTCTGCCCACTGGTCTGGATGGCAAGTGGCGAAATAGCAGTGAATAGCTATGACTGAAAAATGGGAATGTGTGGAAGCAAATGCACACAGTGGAAAATTAGATCCAAATGGCCGATTGGCAAGCCAAGGCCCCCATCTGGAAGTATCCCCTATGTCACTAATATCATTCATTCATGTCTATGCATACGCAGAGATGTTGTTGTTGTTATTTAAAGCAGGCCTTTTTCACTAGGAGGAACGTCTTGCCTCAGAAGGCTTGCTTAGCAATCCTTTGGCTTTTTCAGGGGGTTAGGGAAAACAATTATGTTCAGAAGAACCTTTCTGTCACCTGCAGGGTTGATAGAGGAAGTGATACGGGTCCTATCTTGGCCCAACATCTCTTATTTTGCTGCATAGCAGAGATGGGGAATCTGTGGCTCTTCACAAGTTATGGGACTGTAGCTCCCATCATGCCAGACCATTGGACATGCTGACTGGGTCTGATGGGAACTGTAGCCTAGCAACATCTGGATTGCCACAGATGTAACCCCACTGTATAGTCTCTGCTCAGCTGTTACATTATCTTCCAATGGTGTGTTTCATTGTTAACCTTTACTAAGAGGACTCATAATGGGTACATTTGGTGAGGTGGCAGAAATGAATACCAGTCATTCAGGCCTGTTATCTATCTACAGGGTTATGAAGGCACCCAGAATTAATGCGCTGAACAATTAATGTCAATTATCTCCCAAGCTGTTCATATCTGATCGTTCATCTGTGCGTGAGATTGATATATCAATCTCGCAATGTGTGAGAGCACACGCATCCTCAAGAGAGAGAAAATTCGTGGATCAGAAGCCGTTTGCTACATAAGTTTTCTCCCTAGCCACTAATGCAGTCCCTTGCAAATCCTGACAGGAGCAAGACACCCTGGCAGATGCAGAAGAACGATGTGACTTGCTGATTAAATCTAAGATCCAGCTGGAGGCCAAAGTCAAAGAGCTGACTGAGCGGGTGGAAGATGAAGAGGAGATGAACTCTGAGCTGACATCCAAGAAGAGGAAGCTGGAAGATGAATGCTCTGAGCTGAAGAAGGACATTGATGACCTTGAAATAACACTGGCAAAAGTGGAGAAAGAAAAACATGCCACTGAAAATAAGGTAGCTTTAATACTTGGCCATTAAAAACAAAAATCCACTCTCAGAGCTGCTTTATGGCAGTAATCAATATGCAAGTCTATAATTTTCCAAAACTCTTGGTTGGGAAAAGATCTGGCTACATGCTCCGTCTGTACTATGTCAGACTAATAAGAAGACAGCTATGTTTTTGCCCATGGGGACAGTCTAGGGATTCTTTGAAAGTACCTATAAAGACTGATGCAATTTATGAACCAGGAGATCTGTGATCTTGCTATCAGCAACCTTCGGCCTGGTCTATTTAATATATTTATACTTTGTCTTTCTCTCACAATGGAACTCAAGACAGTGTACATGTGGTTCCCAGGAGATCTCCTTTTAGGCAGTAACTAGACCCGGACCTGCTTACCTTTTCCAAGGTGGCTACATGTCCCTTAGACTAGAAAGTTGTTGTGCAAGTTGTTTCTGGCCCTATATTTGGTGCCCGGATTTTCATGTTTTAAGAACTGGGAATTGAACAGTACCACATTAGACACCTGATGTATGCTCCTTCCTTTCTTTGCTTCCCCACCTGATATCTGGAATTCAGTTCACATGACCAGATAATCCAAGAAAGCCGAGCATCACTTGCATGGATGAAAAATTATTTGTGGGAATCAGTCCCACATTCATCCCACATACATAGCACTCGGTCCACTCAACCACAGCGCAGGCAGGGAAGAGAAACCTTTGAGCTAAGATTTCTTTGCAAAAACCTCTGGCCTGTGTCTTCCTTCCCCAACAGGTTAAGAATCTGACAGAAGAAATGGCAGCACTTGATGAGACCATCAGCAAGCTGACGAAGGAAAAGAAGTCATTGCAGGAAGCTCACCAGCAGGCCTTGGATGACCTGCAAGCAGAAGAGGACAAAGTCAACACACTGAGCAAGGCTAAAGTGAAACTGGAGCAGCAAGTGGATGATGTATGTTTGCGCTGCTGTTCGTTCACCTAGGTTGTTTGGGGGCCGGGGTTGGACATTCAAGTGGCTTTGGTTGTCCTGTTATAAATGTTGGACCTATTATTGAAATAGGTGACAATGAAAGTCGATCTGTTGTTCAGTTTCTGAATGGAAGGTAAATGCAAGGAATTCATTTGCATTCCAAGTTTCACATAGAGATGCAGTGGCGGGGCCATAGCTCAGTGGTAGAGCACACCAAAGTATAATCCCTGGGTCTCCAGGTAGAGCTGGAAAAAGACTCCTGTCTGGAGCTCTGGAGAGTCACCAACAGACTCAGTCAGTGTTGACAGTTTGGAGCTAGATAGATCAGTGGTCTGACTCAGTATGGTATCTTCATATGTTCCTATGAATGGTGGGGAGCGGGAGGTAGTTCCACACCCCTTTCTAGTATTTTGTTCAGCATGTTCCTTATGGGGAAAGAGGGCAGTCTGCATACATCAATAAAAAGAGGATTTGGTTTCTCTAAACTTCAGTCCGGCTTACAATACCTGAAGATGCTGCCAAATGTCTGTGGTCTGCCAAGAACTTGAAAAGTTGAGTGGCTATTTTCTCCTGTATCTGTCCCTTTTCATTTCTGTAGCTCGAGGGCTCTCTTGAACAAGAAAAGAAAGTGAGGATGGATCTGGAAAGAGCCAAACGCAAACTGGAGGGTGACTTGAAGCTGACTCAAGAAAGTGTCATGGACTTGGAAAATGATAAGCTGCAGTTGGACGAAAAGTTAAAGAAGTAAGGTGGTGTTAGAGTTCTTAGTGGCAGAGGCTGTTTTTATACTGTAAAACTTTCACTGCCCTATGATGCTTTGTACTCTGTGTAAAACGCAAGAAGTGAGTAACAATAATATCTTGCAGTGCCACTATATTTTCAGTCCCTGGAAAGCAGCCAAAAACAGGAGGTTTGTTTAGTCCCTGGTGAGTTGCCATATGTGACTGGTGGGTGTGTTTAGCTTGATGGGTCAAAGGTTCTTTAGGCCTGCTATACACACACACACACACACACACACACACACACACCACACAACTAGAAATAGGGTTGCCTAGTGAGACAGTTCCATAAAACAGTAACAGCATAGAAAATAGAAAGGTAGACCAAATTTGCTACCTCCAAGTGGAGGGCAGCCAGCCAGATTCAACTCCCCATGCTCCAGTCTGCTTTTCTTCCTTCCATCTGGTATGGTTTTGTGCTCCACGTTATAGCAGATTGGGCTTTGGCAGGCAGATCAAAATGTAGTTCACTTAACCAGCTTTTCCCTCCAACAGAGTTCTAACAGGTACCAGATCTCTGTGTTACTTAGATTGCAAATTTGCAGGCAGCAATTTCCTAAGGACCTTGAAACATAGCAGGAATGAGTCATATTCAGGCATTATAGCTCCTGTATGGAGCATCAGATGGGTAAGGAATGGAGCCAAGCTAAGTAGCCAGTCCCCCTTTCGTAGTGTGTGCTGACTGCTAGCCCTGTCCTTGGCATCCTTGCATTCAGCGTGAATGTACAGTGGTGGCTGGTCTTCCATCCAACCTGGAATTCTGTGTGTTTGGGGAGAAGACTTCACATGTGCTGCTGTACACACGGACACTCCTCCCTGCAAGGAGGGTGGGGGGGAGGTTAGTCATGCATGCATGTGTAGAGCAACACCTGAATAGGGCTATATTAATTGTTTGTTCTGAGATGGCATTTCTGCTTAAAAGCAACCAACTAATTACTCCATTGTACTCAACCCCAATCTATTGCATTAATAGGAAAGAATTTGAAATCAGTCAGATGAGCTCCAAGATTGAGGATGAGCAGGCCATAGTGATGCAGCTCCAAAAGAAGATAAAAGAGCTTCAGGTAATTATTCCTGCTCAGTTTCTCTCAGTACTGGATATATGGACATTGTATTGTAAGAAAGCCTTGGGCTTTGTGCAGGTTGTAATCCCATTTGATCTGAATTCCAGGTTATTAGAAATCTTTTAAGGTCACAAGAAAAGCTCTACTGGATCAGATTAGACATTCACCTCTCTCTCTCTTTTAATATATCTTTATTAATTTAAAATAAATACATTTATGAAAAACAGACGTACATACAAGTAAAAAAATACAATAAAACAAACAAATAACAGAAAAATCAAACAAACCACCACACTATAAGATATAAGAAGATCAATATAATTATCATCATATATACTCCTGGTATTGAACACAATTATAAAATTTATAGAAAAGAAATTTAAAACTGACTTCCAATTAATTTCACTGTACTTTGTCTATCCATTACAGTGGTGCCTCGCAAGACGAAATTAATCCGTTCCGCGAGTCTCTTCGTCTTGCGGTTTTTTCGTCTTGCGAAGCACGGCTATTAGCGGCTTAGCGGCTTAGCGGCTATTAATGGCTTAGCGGCTATTAACGGCTCAGCGGCTTAGCGGCTTTAAGAAAAAGGAAACAAACTCGCAAGAACTCTCAAGGACGTTTCGTCTTGCGAAGCAAGCCTATAGGGAAATTCGTCTTGCGAAGCACCTCAAAAAACTCTTTCGTCTTGCGAGTTTTTCGTCTTGCGAGGCATTCGTCTTGCGGGGCACCACTGTACTTTATACCGCACAGTTACATATTTCTTGTATAATTTCTTTTTTTTTTTTATAAAATTTTTATTGGGTTTTCACATTTTTATAGACATACAAACATAAAAAAAACACAACAAAACACGTATAATTTCATAAACTTACTTTCATTCCCTTCTTTCCTTGACTTCCCCACACCCCCTTTCCACTTTCCAATTTCATTAATTGTCTCAGCAAATTATTTTCTCCCATCTCTTAAATGTTATTCTTGTCTTTTCTTAAAGTTTATTGCTTTTTCTTGGCCCAATTTTACTTATCCAGCTTTATACATTAAATACTTTCTCTAGACTCGGCCTAAATTCTCTCCCACAAATTCCCTCCTTAAAATGTTAAACCAAAAATCATTATATTCCCATTCTAAATCTCAGATTTTCACTATTCTACTCTCCCCTCCCCCCTTCCCCGGTTTCCGTCCCTTCCCAAACCGTGTATAATTTCTTTTTACCTCCCTACAAACTTATATTTATACAATACAGGGATCAGTCTAATTCTGCCTGATTAGACATCCATCTCGTTCATCACCCTGTTTTCCAGAGTGGACAGCTCTGGGAAATCTTGAAAACAGGGATTGAAGGTGACAGCTTTCTCCCATTGTTTGGCCTCCTCCTTCCCAGCATTTGGTATTCAGTGGCCTACTACCACCAAACCTGTAGCTATCACTTAGCTACCAGAACCAACAGCCATTGACTATAGATGGTGGAGAAATTAAATTAACTGTGCATTGGAAGGTGGACCTACCTAATTTGCATATTCCCAAACAGTATGAGAACAGAAACATAGCCAGCATTCAAAATTCACACTTCTCTGAATTTTGTGATGCAATTATTCAACCAAACAGTGTTTACCAAAATGTGTCTTATTAGGTGAAAGTGTGCATAAACATGAATATATTAGTGAAAGTAAAACACAACAATTCATTCTATTAGGGGAATCATTGCAAAAGATGTAGATCAGTCAAAACTGCATACAAGAATGGGTTTAATTCAGAGAAATTCACAACAATATTCTGATGAATTTTCATGAGGATTAAAAAAAACTAGCAAATTTTATAACTTTGTTATGTGTCATGTGAAGAGCTATGTTGGTAAAGAATGAGGAGGAGGAGAAAGATTTTTGGGCATATGATTTGGCTTTTTCTATTTTTTGATTTCTTAACCTATTTTAAAGGCTCATAAAAGGTTAAAAAATTAAAACTAAATCTACACAAACACAGAAAATAAAATTTATAAGATGCTCTTTGGAGAGCAGTTGGAGGCTATGTGTGTGCATTGTTTATGCATATTGGCTCTTTTCAGACCTTCAAGTGAACATGTAGAGCAAGGATGTGGAGCCTAGGTTCTTCCAGATATTGTTAGATTCCAACTTCTATTAGCCCCAGTTCATAGTCAGGCTTGGGGATGAGGGGAGTTGTGGCCAAACGTTATCTGGAGGTCCTCAGATTTCCCATCCCTAGTCTATAGGCCGAGAGTGGGCACGAGTCTGCTTTCTCCCCTTCTCAGCGTGTGTTCACCAGCACAGGGCTTGTTGTGCTGGATTTTGAGGGTGAAACCATTGATCACAAGCAGGCTTAAATGAAATTCCATTCTTGAGCAACAAGAATCCTAATAACAGAAGGTGCCTTGTTGAGTTGGTGGTTGGGAAAGATAATAATGGACACATTTGAAGGAAAGATATTTAAGAAGAAAGGGATGGAAGCAGGGAAATTGGCTTCTAGGCAGTATATCCTTAATGGAAAGGGGACATTCGCCTCTGACTGTATTGTCCTTGGTTACAAGCACCGAGGGGCTTGCGAGTCAGTAAAAGAACAGAATACACCTCAGAGGAAGACAATGTGAATTGCAGCGATGTGTTAACACTGGCAACAAAGTTTGCACAGAAGTAAGAAACTCTGTCAAGAATAAAAGCAGTCCCTTTGGCTGCTGATCTATGGATGTTCTATGACCTCCTTGGTTTTGCAGCTGCCAAAGTTGCTCTTTCTTCCCTCTGGAGGGGGTGGGATGTGGCATTAATAATTCTGCAACTTGCTTGCTGCCCAGAGGCAGAATGTGTGACTAACCAGTTTTGACAGTTCTAGTACAGAGGTGAATTACGGAAAGGGACCACAAATGCTTGCTGCTACCCTATATTTCACCCCCTATTCACAATTTTAAAGTGGCAGGGGACACTCTTTGTAACGGAATACTCCACTTCCAATATTATCTTGCTTTTAAAAATGTCTATTTTGCCATACTGTTGGAGCAATCCTGCACAATATTAGTTGGAAGTAGTTCCCAGTGGGCAATGGAGGTAAGTGTAAGTAGGACTGCAGCCTGGGTGTCTGATGTCTTGGAAAGATGGCAGAGAACATTCCCCCAGATGATTAAAAACATCTAGCCGAGTTGCAATTCATGATTTAAAGTTCTGACCCAAATTCAGAGTGAGAGAACACTCTGAATTTGAGGGTTCAGAGTTACCACAAAGGTTACTTCCAATGTCTTAAGATGGAGGCACTGTGGTGTCTAGGGCTGTGCTGTTATGCTCACATGCTTCTCTGTCTGATAGGCCCGCATAGAGGAACTTGAGGAAGAGCTAGAAGCAGAACGAGCTGCCCGCGCAAAAGTGGAGAAGCAAAGATCAGACCTGGCCCGAGAGCTGGAAGAGCTGAGTGAGCGGCTGGAAGAGGCTGGGGGCGCCACTGCGGCACAGCTGGAGATGAACAAGAAGCGGGAGGCCGAGTTTCTGAAGCTGCGGCGGGACCTTGAAGAGGCCACTCTGCACTACGAGGCAACCGCAGCTACACTCAGGAAGAAGCACGCAGACAGCATGGCGGAGCTTGGGGAACAAGCGGACAACCTGCAGCGGGTCAAACAAAAGCTGGAGAAAGAGAAGAGCGAGCTCAAGTTGGAAGTGGACGATCTGTCTTCTACTATGGAGCAAGTGATTAAGGGAAAGGTAAAGCCTCTGGGGTTTGCTGTGAAGACAGACCAGATGGAGATAGGGGTATTTTCAAGCCGACCTGGATTAGCTACAACCAAAACCAAAACCATTCAGTTCCACGAAGTCTGATCAGTGAATCAAAAATAGGAGGCTTTGTCCCGCCAAGTTCTGCTGGGAGTAGGATCGCTGAAATGAATAGGGCCAAGTTAGTCACATTCACTCATTTCTTAGGGGAGTTGCATTCTTTGAATAGCTGCAAACAATGTTCATGCAATACATCAGGTATGCATATAGAAAAGGCCACACAGAAATGCCAAGTGGTTAAACAATGGAGCAAAATATAACAAATGGTTGGATCCAAAAAACTCTCTGTTCATGTGGGGATGCCATTGATTTTCTTTCCTGGCTGAGCCCTCCTGCGTCACATTATGTGTCAGTCACACACCGGAGGGTCTCTTGATCTGCTGGAACAGCTTTTCAGGGGGTTGCTGGGGGGAGAGGGGAGCTGTAGCCAGGGGGATCAGTAACTCCCAGATACAAGCAGAAGAACCTTTTGCTCTCAGAAGGAAAAACCTTTCAATCCAAGAATTTGCAAATGTAAAGCAGGCCATCGAGAATCACGGGAAGGAGTAAGAGAGGAAGTATAGTGTGTGTGGAGATGCAATGACAAAATATTGTTATACCCCATGCCAATCTCTGAGCAGTGTGAGATTCCAGGGGTCCAGGCACTTACCAAGGGTTTGTGTTTCCTTTTGGAAATGAGGCACGGCAGATACTGCAGTGTTTTTATGATATATGGTTTATTTACACTGTATATAGGACCGGAGCCTACAATGAAGAGGTTCCCAACATTACACTTCAAGAGAGTCTCTTGCTTCTCCCACAGCCTTGGATCCAAAACAGAAATCAGCCGTGTTCTCTGTCTCCCTAACTGCCATCCTTAAAAAACTAACACTAGCCTTTTGTCTTATTAACTAAAATCAGAGCCTGGGGAGGGGCTTCACCCATTTGGCTGTCTGGCATTGAATCTCCAGATGATCCATCTGGTACCTTTGGTTGGGTTAAAGACTCAGCCATTATCAAGTGGTTACCTCATAAGGAAGCTGGCCAGCATTATTTCCAACCTTTGCTCAATCCAGGAATTTAAGGATTTGCTGAAATTTGAACCCTTTTAGGGGAGTCTGATCCCACCACAAACTCATAACAATAAGTTTCTCCCTTGAGTGCCCGCCTTCTCTGAGAATCATGCTTGCCTAACTTGTTAGCCTTCAAGTGTCTATTTTAACTTCTTAAATTATTTATATACAGTCATACCTCATGTTACAGACGCTTCAGGTTACGTGTTTTCAGGTTGCGGACCCCAGGAAACCTGGAAGTACTGGAACGGGTTACTTCTGGGTTTCGCTGCTCGCACATGTGCAGAAGTGCCAAATCACACTGGTGCCTGCGCAGATGCGGCACTTCGGGATGTGAACGCTGTGGGTTGCGGACATGCCTCCGTCACGGATTACGTCTGCAACCCAAGGTTCCACTGTATTTACTTTTGCTCATATTACTATGCCTTACAACTCTAGGATATTCACCATGTTGAATCAGACACTGGGTTTTCCAAATTTTTCTTCACATATCATTCTGTAATCATTTCTAAAACTCCTCCAGTCGTACTTGGTACTAGCTTTTTGGCAAACCATAATGCATCGCTATTAATAAATGTCAAAATCCATATTAGGGCAATATATTTATTAGGCCAACCAAAATATCACCAAATAGCATGCAAGCTTTTGCATCCTCTAATAATTCATAGATATTCTGATATATTTATGATGGCTTTGCAGATTACACTATTCTCATACAGAATGCTAAACTAGTATACTTTCTGATTTTGGCAGGAGGGGGAATGAAGGTGGAGTATGTTTTTTTCCACATTATGATCTTTGGAAAGCTCTCATCCTGCGTAGGTTTTATAAATGATATACAGAACAATTGAATAATACTCCTCTGGGGATATTTAACTCCCAAGCAACTCTTAAGGAATCTCTTAAGAAGGATGTGTTTATGGCTCACAGATGTGTAATTTTCAGTGTGAACTTTTTTCTATCGCATCAATTCAGTTCAATAATTCAGAGCTGTTATTAATTACATGATTGATTCCCTTCCATTTGCCACACACTGTCATGTAACGATTTCTACTAGAGAAGTAGCTGTGATAGTCTTTTGTAGCAAAAACGACAAAGATTTTTGTGGCACCTTAAGCACTAACAAATTTCATATGGCATAAGCTTTTGTGGCCTACAGGGAACACTGCAGCTGATGAAGTGAACTCTGGTCCACAAAAGTTTATGTCATAATAAATTTATCCATCTTTAAGGTGCCACAAGACTCTCAGTGCAAACAACAATCATATAGTAGCTCAGTGTGTTTCTTTTGCTTTTGTATGACTCCAGTAAGATATTAACAACAAAAAATAATGTTCTTCTTGTTGTCAAAATATATTTATATATATATATTATATTATATAGCTGAAGCAAACTGGTGAGTATGTATGTGGTAAAGACAAAAGGTTGTCGTAATCTTGCGTGCAAGATTATGTAAGTCTTACTGTACTTTGAAACTGTTGGACACAATTAATTATTTTAAAAGAATCTGTTATTATTATTCCTTCCAGTAAACTGAATCTTTGGTATATGCATATAGAAATACTTTTTAAAATATATCATTGCAGCTATTGCTCTTTTTCTAATTATAATTGTTGGTGGGCCCTTTTAATTTTTGCAAATTTTGTAAACCAAATTTTACACTTTGCACAGAAATTGTGGCCCTAATGTTGGATGGTTTATGTTTTGCCTCCTGAGTTTCTAGACTAATTGGCATATGCCAAGTTTTATCTTTCTGTTACATAGAAAAAGATTGTCATGATCTTTCTTAATTGTCAGATATTGGTCTTTTTATGGGACAAATGAGATGAGCAACGCACTTTGATTGGGATTGGGTGTTTGATTACCTTTGTTCTAACCACATTAGGCAAATGCAGAAAAACTCTGTCGTACTCTGGAAGACCATCTCAATGAGGCAAAAACTAAAGTGGACGAGATGACTCGTGTGGTGAATGACCTCACTGCCCAAAAAGGGAAGCTGCAAAGTGAAAATGGTAGGTTGGGCAAACACTGTTATAGCCATAGGAAGTGTGAGCATGGCAACACCTTACATGAGTCAGGAGGGATGCTTGAAGATTTAATTCAGTCTGCATCTTTATGTGGTTGCAGAACAATCTGATTTGCACTCACTGAACCACTGTGTGGAATGAAGTGCAATTATCATTTGGATACTGTATTTCTCCAAATTTTGTGAGAAATTTTATACTACACACACACACACACACACACACACACACACACTATACATAAAGATTTGCCAGAAATATGGTGCACACACATTTTTAAATTTCATCCTTTTTGTCCTTTTTGAAACTTATCAGAAATATGTATATCAGAAATACACTGGTCTGCCCATCCCCACATAATTGCACATGTGCAATATTTTCATGAGGAACTCATGTCTCTTTCTTCTCCCTTTCCCCTACATAAGAACAGATCCCTTTCATCTGCTGGTCAATTGCTTCTTCCTTTCCATCTAGTTTTCTGTCCTCTCCTTATATACCTGTCCACATGATGAAACATGGGAAGGGAGGGAGGACCAGCTTCATGGCTATACAACATTTATCACATTGACTCCCAACCTTTACTGCTGCTGTTGATTTATGCTGGATGCTCAGTAGAAGTTTTCCTGATGCAAAATGCACTTGTCTTTCCACAACACTCCATTCATTGCCCACCAAGGACTCATTCCGGTTCAGCTTGCAATAACAGCTTTCTGTGATCTTTTCCCAGTTGGCAACTTCTTTTTCCTGACGGGATGATATCATTTTATTAGATTCCTGGGCATGTTCAGACATGACTCAATCAAAGTGGCTTACAAATAAAAAGCAAACATGAAAACAACAGTGACCCAATCATTAAAACACAATTTGAGAAATCTAACAACATGGCAAGAAGCAAAAATTCAAAGAACAGCACTAACAAGCAGCAACAGCGGAGACAAAACTTGGTTTGAAAAAAAGAAATGTTTTCAGTTGGTGGAGTGGGGTGCGTCACAAATCAAGAGGAAGGTACTTCTGCACATGGGGTGTCACCATAGAAAATGCCCTCATGTATGTTGCTACTACCCTTGCCTTAGAAGGTAAAGGCAGGGCAGATGAGTGTGCTAGCTAGTCAAAGGACAGCCAGATTCACACAGGAGAAAGTAACCCTTAAGCAGCTTGATCCCAAGCTGCTTAGGTTGTTATAGCTAATAACCAGCACCTTGAATCATGTGTTCACATTATTTTTCTGGTGCATTTCACAGCTCCCCCCTGCCCCCCACCTGTATACATCAGCACAGCTTCATTAGCTTCTGATTCATTTCTGTTTGTGTAAACACTGGGAGACATTGAGGGGCCGGGATGTTTGTACCCTATGCAAAGGTGTTCACCCCTTGGCTAGAGATGAATTCGGAATGGCTTAAAGACTCCGGTCGGCATGAAGCTGGTTTGAAAACAACACATCAAACAGTAGTATTTTATAACAAAGTACAGGATGCATTTTGGATAAAGTCATGTGAAGACAGATTAAAGACTCAGCACAGGGGGTACAGTGACTGCACAGTAAACGGCCCTAGAAGATTGACTGGGAGTTGACAGAATAAGGGGGAATCACATGACCCCAGCAGCCAAGATTTTAGCAGCGACATTCTGCCACCAAATGAAGTTTCTGAATGGTTTTCAATGGCAGCCCTGCATAGAGCATGTTACAGTAGAGTGTGCAGCATAGCATATGAGCACTTTAATATTGTGATCAGTGGGACTCTCCCATGCATGTTTCAAGTCCATCATCAAATACTACAGTTTCCCCAGTTCCTTTGGCTGTGTCCTGTCATGCTGGCATAGGCAAAATGTGGACGTAGCTAATTATGTCCAATGCCACAAAATCCCCAATCTACCTCATCAAACCACCCCCGTATGCCTGAAGGGCAAAAGGGTCACAGGTTACTTTCAATTATTCAGAACTCCTGGGGATATCTTCTCCTTGCCCTCCTCCTCCCTTGTCATGGAAAGCTGATGCTCATCATCTTTTTTTGTGCTACCCCTCCGGCAGGTGAATTTACAAGACAGCTGGAAGAGAAAGAATCGCTTATAAACCAACTTTCCCGAGGGAAGTTGTCTTTCACTCAACAAATAGAAGAGCTTAAAAGGCAGCTGGAGGAAGAGAGCAAGGTAAGGCTTTGATTGAGGCTCCCAACATGATTCTGACTCAGCTTGAAACGACGACTCGGTTTTAAGGTATTGCCCTTAAGCAGGTATGGAACCGCATGCGCTCAAGTAAGTGCAGTGGAATGGGACTTAAGTGCATAAGCTGAGGATGTGCCTCAGTCTGCAGATATTAGTGAAATGTGGGCTGCTGGGGATACAATAGTCCCAGTATGACTGGGAAATGCTGTGGTTGCTATTAAGGATTGAGACAGTGTGATGGAAGAAATAGGAGTAGGGAGTTTGGAAAAGGGGAAATTTCCAGGTGGCGAACTCACCATCAGAACGAGTTTCAGTGCTTGTAGTAGCTGCTTTGTCCACAGCTGAATGTGCTAACTACAGTGCCCCCCTCTCCTACAGTCAAAGAATGCCCTCGCCCATGCTTTGCAAGCTGCCCGCCATGACTGTGACCTCCTGCGGGAGCAATTTGAGGAGGAGCAAGAAGCCAAGGCAGAGCTTCAGAGGGCACTCTCCAAGGGGAATGCGGAAGTGGCACAGTGGAGAACTAAATATGAAACCGATGCTATTCAAAGGACTGAGGAGCTAGAAGATGCCAAGTAAGATATACAAGAGATGCCATCCTACGTTTCCACATGTATTCTTGTTTTAAACTGTTACATTCTAGATCACAGACTGTATGCAGTTCCATGCAGTGAGATCATAGAATCTTAGAGCTGGAAGGGACCCAAAGGTCATTTACTCCAACCCCCCGCAATGCAGGAACCTTGGCTAAAGCATCTACATCAGATGTGATTATAAATTACAATCCAAACATATCAACGTCTTATTTCTTATGGCTTCCTGTTGCAATCATGTCACTAATCCAGGATGATCAGGAAAACCAATGTGAGCCTGCTCATTACTTGAGAAGGCATCGGTTCTCAACCTGTGGGTCCCCAGATGTTGTTGGACTACAACGCCCATCATCCCTGAGCTCTGGCCTTGCTAGCTAGGGGTGATGGGAGTTGTAGTCCAACAACATCTGGGGACCCACAAGTTGAGAAAGGCTGATCTAAGGCATCCCTGACTTGGGTGGTAAGGCTGGTGGCTGCGTGTGGTGCCCCAGTTAAATAACTTACTCTCTAGACATTTTCCCCTTGCCCCGTCACTGCTATCTTGTCCATGAAGTTTCATTTACCATTTTACCACCCATTCACTCATTTTGGAGAGGTCCTTGTGGAGCTCTTCATGGTCTCTTCTTGTTTTAATGACCCTAAGCAATTTCATGTCCTCAGCAAACCTGGCCACTTTACAACTTGCTCCTAACTCTAGACTGATTATGAACAAGTTGAAAAGCACAGGTCTCAATATTGATTCTTGGGGGACTCTAGTTTCTACATCTCTCCAACTGCCCATTTATTCCTACTCTCCTGCTGCTTAACCAATCCCTGATCTACAAAAGGATCTCTCCTCTTATTTTTTGACTCAGGAATCTTTGGTGAGGTACCTTGTTGAAGTCTTTTTAAAGTCCAAGTGCACTATATCAACTGGATTGCATCTACCTATGCACTTGTTGACACTTGCTGGCTGTTTTTGGTTATTTTATCTTTCACAATACTTTCCACCAGTTTTCCCAGGGCACACATTAAGCTATCAGGCCTGTAATTTCCAGGATCCCCCCAGGTCCCTTTAAAAAAAAAAAAAATTATGTTACATTGACTACTTTCCAGTCCTCAGTTATGGAGGTTGATCTGAGGGACAAGTTTCATGTTTTTGTTAGAAGATCACCAAGTTCACCTTTGAGTTCTTTGGAAACTTTCAGGTGGATGCCATCTGGAGCTGGTAATTTGTCAGTTTCTATTTTGTCTGTTAGACCAAGAGCTTCATCCCTCATCACCTCTATCCACCTCAGTTCCTCAGACTCCTTTCCAGCAAAAGTTAGTTTAGGCATTGGGATCACCCTATATCTTCCATTGTGAAGACAGATGCAAAGAATTATTTCATTTTCTCTCCTAATCCTCCTTTAGCACACCTTTGATTCCCTTGTCATCCAAGGGTTCAGCTGCCTCATTAGACAGTCTTCCACTTCAAATTTATTTAAAGAACTTTATGTTGTCAAATTCAATGTTTTTAGCAATGTGCCCAATATCTTAGCATCCCCAACTATCCACTTGCACTTTGTTTCACCAAAATTTGTGATCCTTTTTGTTTTCTTCATTTGGACAAGGCTCCCATTAATTTTTTTGAAGGAAGCCTTCTCGCCTCTAATAGTTTCTTTAACTCTGCTCATTAACCAAGGTGACATCCTCATGGCACCTTTCCTGATCTGTGGCAACCCCCCCCCCAAAGTGTGAGGTCCTTTTGAAGGGTAGCTAGGCCCAACTGCTATTTGACTCTTCTCTTCCCAGAAACGTCTCATCAATTCTTCTTCTGCTTGGCTGAACTGGAGGCAGAGATGAGATAGCAAAACCCTCTCCATCAGCTTGCCCTTTGGCTCCTCCCTTCCTTGAAATGTCTTACCAGTTTTCATTCCTCTTGGCTGCCTGAGAGGCACAGATGAGACAGCAAGACCCCCTCTGTTGGCTTGGCTAGGGCCAATGGCCATCTGATTCCTCTTGACCCAGAACTGTCTCTGGCAGTTTCACAGTGTAGCTTCATAATGTAACATGATTTTATTTTATTGGTGGGTTTTAACTGTATTCTTCATCTTGTGTGTGCATGTGTGTGGTCCCTATTGGTACTCTTGGTTTCAATGTACACTGCTTGGAGATGGTTATCCTCTTTTACACAAAGCGGTATATAAGAATGCACAATAATAAAAAAAGGAAACATGAAATACGGATACAAATTTGCTTATTTTCATCCTTTACACCCTCTTCCTTTCCCCTTTTATATCATGCATCTTAAGCTGTAAGCTGCTATTTTAAATTGTAAGCCACTCTGACTGCTTAAATGTAGCAAATAACAATGCCACAAAGGGAAATTCACACTGTTTTGATTTTGGTAATATTAAGAGCCTTTTCACTGTGGGTCGTTTTACCATGTACCTGTTCTGTTAGGAAAAAGTTGGCAGCTCGTCTCCAAGAGGCTGAGGAAGCCATCGAGGCGGCCAATGCCAAATGCTCTTCTCTGGAGAAGACAAAGCACAGGTTGCAGAATGAGCTGGAGGACATGATGATTGATCTGGAAAAGTCCAACGCAGCAGCAGGGTCCTTGGACAAGAAGCAGCGCAATTTTGACAGGATCCTTAATGAGTGGAAACAAAAGTATGAGGAGTCCCAAGCAGAGCTTGAAGGTGCCCAGAAGGAAGCCCGAAGCCTCAGCACGGAATTATTTAAGCTGAAGAATGCGTACGAAGAGAGCATGGACAATCTGGAGACCTTGAAGAGGGAAAACAAGAATCTCCAAGGTAAGTCCTGCACTTGAGATGTCGGATAGTCAAGCGAGTTGAATCAGAGAGTGGAGGGGGAAGCCAGATGGTGAAAGAAAGAGAGCTCATGAGCCCTAGCGGTTTAGCTTCACGTTTGCCTCACGTTTGTCTCACGTTTGCGTGAGACAAACAAGGCAAGGAAACAGTCTCTACATCATAAAATATTTTTGCTCTGAGGACTGAGAGATATATTGGGGCCAGATGCCTTTTGTCATTAGTCTAAGAGCCTAGCTTTTCTCCAGTGAGACCAGCTGGTATCAGATCCTCCTGCTATTTCAAAGACTGGCAACATAGATGTAATCGTAAGAACATAAAATGAGGTCAATGGCCCATTTATTCCAGCATCTTGTTCTCAAAGTGACCAACCAGTTGCCTATGGGAAGTCCACAAGCAAGACCCAAGCACTGCAGCACTATTCTCCCCTGTGGCTTCAGCAACTGGTATTCAGAAGCATATGAGGTGGTTCACTTGAAGCAGGCATGGGTGAGAAGGTGGTAACCAGATATAATAGCAATGATGATAGGGAGTGAGGAATGGTTAGGAATAACACTGCGGTTGCCTAGTTCTTCTCCCACAGCAAGGCTACCAATAATGTATGGGCTTAGTATCATATTGTCCCTATAAAATGGGACTTGGACAACTCTCCTGCAAAGTCTAAAATAATCTAGGGGCATGAACTAATCGTATCAGAACTTAAAGACCCTTACCACCTCTGAAGATTACTTATAGCTAGGGGCTAAACTAGATGTGGCCATGCTGTTCATTTGCCTGCCCCATTCACATATACAGTCATGGGTAAGTGGTCTTGTTTTAATACAAAGAGGGGTGTACAGGTGAAAAGAGTTGAAAATGTGCATGTGCCTCTCTTATCTCCCAATAGCAGAAGTTAGGTGGGCTGGGGAGAAAAGGTCCTGAAGTGATGGAACATTAGAATGTGAGGCAGTGTAGGATGGAAGGCACAGCTGTTCTTACCCATTTCAATATCCAATAAGATATCCAGCCATGCTTTACATGTGGGTGGGACAGGGATGTGCTTAAGTAAACCTGAATGTCTTCTCATTGCCTCTTCTATGACCCATGTTAATGCTGTTTTATATACTAAACTGAAACACTTTGACACAATATATTCAATATTTTGTCCTTCCACAGAATATGTTCTTTAATAATGATTGCATATTGACCATTTTATAATAAAATAGCATGTGATTGTTCAAAATATTCCCCAACTTTAAGGAAGTCGCTTGGAGGATCTTTTGCCCTCTGCCAGATAGAATCTATCTTAATGATAATTACAAGCCATTCATTAATATAATGAGCTTAACAAGATTTGCAACAGCCTTTCCGGACTAAGCAGAGTTTTTGAGAGCAAGACATTATTGCCAGTATATAACAAAATCAGGAGGATAAGAATCAACAACTGCAAGAGGAGAGACTGGAACTTAATAAACACATTTTTAAAATAATTTGTCCCAGTGTGCACCCCTGTCTGAGTCCCTGATAAGTGCTGGATGAAGTGGTAAGGTGGCCATTTATCCCACCTGGAGTGGAGTACTGGTAACTGTCCGTTTATCCCACTAAATTTCACAGGCCACTGTGGCAAGAGCAGATTTCAGGTCAATTGGCCCCTGTTTGAATATACTTCTCAACTGAATGGGGTAGTAGAGAGCAATGATATAAGATACACTGGCCTTGTCTAAAGCCAGCTCCTTCATTAAATAATATACCTTGTGCTTCTATCTAGTCAATTCATTTATTGTATAAGTGTTTAGTTTATAATGTACTAAGAAGACTTACTGGCAGGAATTGGCTGGATCATTTCTAAGCCCCCTTTTAAAGATTGGCACCACAATTACACTGCTCCAGTCGATTGGCATGCATCCTGTTTTGTCTGCAACTGTGAACAGAACTGCCAGAGCTGGAGCCAACCAATCAATGTTTGCTCCAAGCGGGGTTCTGTCAGGATGAAAATGTAGCCATGTAGCTTTCCCTGATTTCAGCTGTGTCAAATAAGAGTTTTCACCTTGTTTTCAGGAACTGGGAACCATAGAGGAAGGAGATCAAAACCCAGTTCTAGAGGACTGGTTGTATTGTTATCATTATCACTTTTTATTTATCATTTAAAAAAATCATAAATATAAGAAATATTTCATATTTCTTTGGCCAACTAGGCCTAGAGCATGCACACACTCTACCAATACACACATCACAAAGCAAAAATAAGCCTCAAAGTAAGTACATACAGAATACATTATCCGTAAAAAAAAAATCTTATAAATATTCCCTCACAAAAGCAGGGCAATGAATGTATTTTAACCTATGTGATCTTCAGATGCAGTCAATAGCTTTCATTTCTCCATAAGCCTGTTTAATAAATTTGATGGTTCTATATGACACGCACCCACCAATTTTTAAATAAATAGATAAACATAAATTTCTAAGTTTTTAGCAAGAATCCAAGATAGGACAAACTAAATTGCTATTGTGAAGAGATAACTTGGTGCATTCAGGACTTTCTGACACTTTGGTCTTTCTTTCTTTCTTTCTTTTTAAAAAAATAATAATTTAGAGGAGATTTCAGATCTAACTGACCAGATCAGTGAAGGAAACAAGAACCTTCATGAGGTGGAGAAGATGAAGAAGCAGATTGAACAAGAAAAATCGGAAGTCCAGCTAGCCCTGGAAGAAGCTGAGGTAAGACAAAGGTTTGGAACAAGAAATGAGGTTTCTAGAGTCGCTGTCAGTTTTCCACCCAAAAGAAAAACAGAGGAAACAAAGGATAAGCAAGATTCGCTTCATGTGCATAGGCGGGGAAAACAAAGTGTGGTAAAATGATGTAGTAGTTATTATATGGAATATTATTGTTACTTAGATTTCTTCCTCCCCTTCTCTTTACGCAGGGATCCTAGGGTAGGCTATGTACAAGTGCTGTTGCAGTATACTTTTCAAAAGATTTCAACTTTCATTATTTGAAGTTTCCGTTTGAATTTAGTGTGGGTTTAAAAAATGTTTTGGGGAACAAACCCAGTCAGATTAGACATTTGAGCTATGGATTCTAGAAATCCTTGGGTGTATCAAGAATGGCAGACAAGTTTCCCTGAAGGTAGCTTTCCCACCATTACCTATTTTACCCTGTAACAAACAGCCATAGGGGAGTGTTGGGCATGTTCTGGGGCAGCGATGGGAAAATCACAGCCCTCCAGATATTACCCAATCCCGAGTTCCTTTGTCCTCAGTCAACATGGTCAATGGCCATGGATGATGGGAATTGTAGTCCCATAACATTTTGAGCACCACAGGCACCCTAGCCCCATCATATGGTGATGAGCCAGCACTACAAGTCTGTAGAGTGTGCTGCATCAACAAAGACTATTCCCCTGGACAGGGATGGACAAGTAATGGCTTGTAGGCAGCAGTACCCCAAAGCAAGGTTCTGGTCCCTGGTGACCCTGCCAAAACATGTTCAAGTGTTGTTTTATTTATTTGTGCCTGCACAATGCAATTAAGATATAGATAGTATAGTTAGATAGATAAATAGATAGATAGATGATAGATAGATAGATAGATAGATAGATAGATAGATAGATGATAGATAGATAGATAGATGATAGATAGATAGAGATAGATAGATAGATGATAGATAGATAGATAGATAGATAGATAGATAGCGATAGATAGATAGATGATAGATAGATATAGATGATAGATAGATAGATAGATAGATAGATGATAGATAGATGATAGATACATAGATAGATGATAGCTAGATACACACACATGCACAATACATTAGGAACAATAAAAAAATCTTTTAAAAACAATAATAAACAAACACATATGTAAGAAAGAGGGATTCTACATTTCATATCACATCTCTCATTCGGATTTTAATGCAATATGCAAATGGACCTATCTGGATGTAATGTGAGCTGTACAGCACGTTCTCCATAAGTGTGAAGGTTTTGTAGCTCGATGGTGCTGACCATTCCTGGTTTCCAGACACAGTCTAGATCTAGAGAATCAAGTGATCTTGAGGATCAAATTATATGAATCTCATAACTGGGATTCTCTTTCTCTTTTTAGAGCAGATGTAGGGACCTTGATCTCCCCTCCCTGCCATTTGCCTGCTGGAAATCCCCCCTTAAAACAAACAAAACAAAACACAGTTGAATGCTGCTGGTTGGCCTCAGATAAGTGGCATGAGGGGCCAATTTCACTGGGAAAACAGAATGGGGCTGGTGGAACTGTTAAATCTTTCTCCCCCTGATACCATGTTCCCAATCAGAATTAACTTAACTTCTCCTGCTGTTAATTAAAAAGAGATGAGAATCTCAGTCATGGAATTTTAAAAAAGATACGCTGAATGTACCCCCAAGACTTTCACGAGATCATTGGTTCCCTACACAAGTAGGACGAGATTGAATATTTGAGGACTCTTGATGCAGGCAAAATTCTAGCACCTTTTGGGGACAGTAGGGGCTTACATTGAAATAAGAGCCTAGGATTTCTCTTCTCCTTTCTTTTAATTTTCTTTTATGCCTGGCCACTGTTTCAAGCTAACTACAGTCATCCATCAGCCTCATTCCCGGGAGTGTTTTTGGAGGGAGGAAAAATGGTTGCTCATATCTACTGCGATACAGCCAATGCCATCAGGATAATGTGAGGACTGGAAAGCTAATATACCCCCCAAATCACTTTTATTTTTATGAAGCTAGAGTGAATATATTCTTAAAAGCCATCAGTTATTCTCATGAGCGCCTGAAACATTTTGGCTTCCCCACCTGGCACCTGCATTTGCTATGATATCTGGAGGTTTGTTCAGTGCATTGGAACATGATTTGTTTATATTGTGGAATAATTTAACATCACCAAGGGCATTTTCATAAATTAACCTTAAAAAATCACACATCATTAGTTTTTTTAAAAGTTCCATTTCTTTATCTGTTAGAAATGTTTGGAATACTTGAAAACAAGATTTAGCTTAAGCTATTTAACTTTTATCAAAATCTTTTCTTTCTTTTTTTCATCTTGCAGGCTGTTTTGTACTTTGCAGGGATTTCCCCTCCAAATAAAAAGGTGTTGCTATCAGAGCAGAGGAACAGCATGTTTCATCCCACTGCTTTGAATAGCTAAGCATGATAGATAGATAGATGATAGATATATTATATTTTTATATATAATATATGTTGCGAATATACTCTAGCTGATTGGTCATAATGTATCAGCTTGTGGTGTGTTCAAGAGTTTTACCTTGACAGATCACCCTAGAACGTGCCATGGCATATTAGTGCTAAAAGCAGCACGGCCACAAACAAAATGGAAGGGGGAGTGTTTTGCTCTTCCCCACTTCTTAAGCAGTGTGTCGTACTAATAGACCAATCCTATAGGTCTCCATTAACTGCAGAAAAGCTTTCAAGGCATTCTCCCAGCCCTTTAGCTCTTTGGATTGCATATGGTATCATCCCACCCCTGGCCTTTGCTGATGCATAATTTCTGCTTTTCTGTTGTGGCAGTATTGGGATTCAAGTGTCTTAGGCAGGGGCTGCGCATTAGTAGTGGTGGTGGTTCTGGGCAGGGACTGGTGCTTGGAAACACCAAAGAAAGCTGCAAGCCATTTGAGAACATTCAATATTATTTACAAAGGTGGGGGTTTCCCCCCAGTTGTCTGGTATTCCTGGCCACCCACGCTAAAGAGAACAGCTCCAAAGGCCTGATACAGTCAAGCCACGTATCCTCTAAACTCTACCAGCACCCTGCTCTCCCTCTCCAAAAGCCCCATTACTCTGCTGTGGTAGTTATTGTACAGAAATTGGAACCTGGCTAAGCCATACATCTTTCCCCTTGCTAACTCAAGATAGTGGAAGTTCACAGTCATTGCTTCTGAGCACTACCCAAATATTAGAACGCTTGAGTCAGCTGTAGATCACCAACAGTTTCAGTATAGGAATTATGTCCATGATTTGAGACCCGCCAAGAACAAATTATTTGCTTAGGATATGAGGCAGCCAATATTAAGTGGCTGCCTTATGATGCTAATTTAGTAGAAATCCCTCCTTTCCCCTCTTGCACAAATGGGTTTTTATTAGGAGGCAAATGAGTGAAATATTACTTATGCAAATAATGCATGATGTATGTGTGTGTGTGTGTGTGTGTGTGTGTGTGTGTGTGTGTTGGCTATTATCCTGGAGTAAAAAAAACCCCTCTATCCTTCATAGTACGTTTCAAAATTCTCTGACTTTTGTCACAATCCGAAAGCAATATTGGACAGCATTCAGCCAGATATTGCCTCTGCTTTTTATTTCTAAAGGTAGTAGATGCCAAACTATATCCAATGACTATAGGTAAAGGTAAAGGGCCCCCTGACCATTAGGTCCAGTCATGGCCGACTCTGGGGTTGTGGCGCTCATCTCGCTTTATTGGCCGAGGGAGCTGGCATACAGCTTCCGGGTCATGTGGCCAGCTTGACTAAACTGCTTCTGGCAAACCAGAGCAGCACACAGAAATGCCGTTTAGCTTCCCACCGGAGCGGTACCTGTTTATCTACTTGCACTTTGACGTGCTTTCAAACTGCTAGGTTGGCAGGAGCAGGGACCAAACAACGGGAGCTCACCCTGTCGCGGGGATTCGAACTGCCAAGTCCTAGGCTCTGTTGTTTAACCCACAGCGCCACCCACGTCCCATCCAATAACTATATAAAGACCTTATTTGATTCTGTCTGACAGATTGTTTAAATCAGGTAAACTTGTTTCTTCAATTGCACTGCTTTTGCTAATAACTGAATGACACAGATTTTCCAGACGGCATCTGCTGATGACCAGATAGTCAAGAACACCACAGACCCTGACTGATCTTCATATTGTGGGCAATGATTATCTAGTGCATAGTGTGGTGGCATAAACTGTACACAAAGAAGAACAAATTTCCATTTTTATGGATGTTGAGAGAGAATTAAACAGCCCTTAGAACCCCTATAACCCATTAACCTTTTTTACCGTATAGATTTAGCTCCACAACACTCTTACATTCACAAACACACACAGTCCAGCCAAATCACCATGTCTTTTGCAGTCCCTAGACTGCAGAAATGCCAAGTTCTTCCTTGACTTATCTCAGTGTCAGTCCCCAAACCCCCAGCCTTACCACTTAAGTTTTTCTTTTTTTTATCAACTTCAATGCCTCTTTGCTTCTCAGCTGATGGAGGGGAGAACTCTTATGCATGTTTAATATAAACTCTGCAAAAAGATTATGCAAGAAGAGGGAAAAGAGATGAACTCGATGGCCAAAACAGACACGACAGTGCAATCTTATACCTGTCTACTCAGGTATAAGATTGCAACACTCACTGATTGCAATGATCCCAGGTATGTATGTGAAGGAATGCAGGCGAAATGTGTGAATGCATTTAATATAATCCCCCCTCCAACTTTAACAACAGTAGCTGTGGGGAAAGGTTACTCCTTCCAGTCTCACTTCTTAAGAGCCTGCCACAACATCCCATATCATAGAAGTTGAAACCGGAGCAAATTACATCAATTCTTCTGATAGCAAAACCAGACTTTCTTCTTATTGATATTTTAAGGGATCAATAAGAAGTCTTGTCAGCTAAAGAGGATATTTGTGCAGGAATAAACCGAAAGACTGTAACTTACATCTTGAGTCCCCCGCCTGAGTCCACTGATGTAGATGCTAGAACAACACAAGCAGTGTCTTACACGAGGCAAGCTCCCGGAGCACCCTTTGCTGAAGGAAAATACTCTAGCAAAGCTGTGCTGGTGCTACTTATGAAGCTGCTCTGACATCACTTTGGTTGCTACCCATTGCTCATTAACCTGAGAACAGCGTCGGTGCAAGACATTGCACTGCCTAAGGTGGGCTGTTGCCACTGTCTTCCTCCTCTGCCTCCACCTCAGCTGCCTCCTCCTGTCCCACATTAACATGCAGGCTCACCTCGTCAAACACTTGCTGACAGCAGCATAAGAAACAATTCTAAGATAACCGGGATCACCACACGCCTCAGTGTCAAACTCTAAGATAGAGGTCCTTCATTAGAGCAAAGCATTGTTTGCTGGGTGGCCCCAGAGAGTACTTGTGCTGCCCCTTGCCGCAGTGGTAGAAATTACGGCTGAATACTGTTTACGGACGTGGATAGCACTGTGAGTTAAACCACTGAGCCTAGGACTTGCCGATCAGAAGGTCGGCGGTTCGAATCCCCGCAACGGGGTGAGCTCCCGTTGCTCAGTCCCTGCTCCTGCCAACCTAGCAGTTCGAAAGCACGTCAAAGTGCAAGTAGATAAATAGGTACCGCTCTGGTGGGAAGGTAAATGGTGTTTCCGTGCACTGCTCTGGTTCGCCAGAAGCAGCTTAGTCATGCTGGCCACATGACCCGGAATCTGTATGCCGGCTCCCTCGGCCGATAAAGTGAGATGAGCGCCGCAACCCCAGAGTCGGCCACGACTGGACCTAATGGTCAGGGGTCCCTTTACCTTTACTGTTTACGGAAACCTGTGGTCCTCCAGGTGTTGTTGGACTTCAGCAAGCCCCAGTCAGCACAGTCAATGGCCCAAGATGTAGTCCAATAGCATCTGGGGGGCCACAGACTTCCCATTGATGCTTTAAAATTTAAGAGTCTTTCCTACCCTAGGCCACCTCACCCACATTGCCTCAATCTTAGGAAGGGGGGGATGTAGGCCTGGGCTCCACTTCCCTGCAGTGGCAAATGCTATTTAATGCTTGCTATAGAAGCAAAAGCAGAAGTGCTTCATGGTGGATTGGTGACTAGGTGGCAACTGCAGTGGTGACAGCGGCAATGGCAGGTTCATCTGCCGCCTGAACCACACAGCTAATGCTAGGGCTAGCCCTGAGTCAAGGGTGCTCCCTAGCCAAAGGAATGCACACGGCAGATAGTTAACTCTATATTGTCAAAGCTCACACTTACAGTAGGCTCCAAGTACCACACAGGCCAGTTTAGCATCTAGGCAGCTATTGCCAGGTCTGAGCTCTATGGAGCAGTTGCAGTAACAGGGAGCCATGTCCCCTCCACTAGCTTGTGTATCTTCTCCCAACAGGCTCTGCACACACAGCCAGAGACTATGCCTGTGTGGAAACTGCTACTGCTCTTCTCACTTCCACCCGCTCCTGATTCTGGGAGACAGTGGTGTAGGAGAGGGTGAGGAAGGACCCAGCTCTTCACTTGCTGACCCACCTGCTCTTCCTCTAGCTCTGAAACTTCCCTTGCTTCTGACTCTTGCCATCACTGTACCCCTCTCCTGAGTCAGACTTCCCCGGTGCACACTCATGAGCGTCCTACCAGTCCCTAACACCCTGCCTGAGAGATGTGGGGCAATCCTATAGATGACTACTTGGGTTAAGTCTCACCGAGTTCATTGGGAGATCCTTCCAAGTAACCATGCATAGGATTGCAGGCCTAAGTCCCTTTGTGCACAATGGGACTTACTTCTGAGTAGACATACATAGGATTGCACTGTTAGGGTGTGATAAACATAGCTGTGTGATATCCCTTGATTCTCACTCCTAGAGACCCATGCAGCTGCAGAAAGCTTCATTCCTTAGACACTAGAATTGGATCCTATGTATGTTCCATTGCACAATTGCATTCCTTCACATACATACCTGGGATCATGCATAGGATTAGGCTCCATATTTCAAAGTTATTATCTCCGTGTTGTTAATATGCATTATATATATTTTAGGGGGCTCTGGAACATGAAGAAAGCAAGACATTGCGTTTTCAACTGGAACTCTCCCAAATTAAAGCAGACTTTGAAAGAAAACTGGCAGAAAAAGATGAAGAAGTTGATAATTTCAGGTATAGTATGCACACAAGGCAATTAACAGAGCCAAGCTATATATGAAGTGTGATTTTTAAAAAGAACAGGGTTGGAACTAAAAGAAAACAATATTTCTAGTTTTAGTATTTCTCAGCATCCAAAGTAGGTTAACTGAACTTAGATGCAGTTTAAACTAATGGGACTTGAATCATGAATATCTTTCCCCCATGGAATTCAATAGAACCTAATGTAGTCTGGCTCCAACACAGGTTTTTTGTTTCTTTTTAAGAACTAGACACAAATGATCAGTGTGTCTCTTACCAATCACCAGAATTTCTCAAACTTGTCCTGGCAGTAACACATTATGTAGAAGAGGGCAATTTCCTTCTGCTTATGTATCTGTTTTGCCATCTGTACATGCTGTCTTAATTTGCAAGAATGTTGTTAAGGCTGATTGATAATTACTGTCTGCACAATATGTTGACAAAAGATACATTAATAAACAAGAGGCAATAAACAACAAAAAAAACCTGGAATCTTTCACAGTTGAGAGTATTTCAGGGAAGAGATTCAAAATGAAATGATTTTACAGAGAGAAGTAAGAAGATCTGGAGATGGGAATGGAGAGGAATGCTGGATTTTCCTATTTACTCTTTATGCTAAAAACCTATATGTGAAAAGGTAGACTTCACTAGCAGCACAGGGCATTGCTTGAAGTTGAAAATTAGGAAAAGAGAAGCCTGTGCCCACATTTGCTTACCTGACATGATTTTAAAATCAGGAGAAACCAGCAACGTGCCATAGACACATTACAGTCCACCTTGGATTCGGAAGCCAAGAGTAGAAACGAGGCCATCCGACTGAAGAAGAAGATGGAAGGAGACCTCAACGAGATGGAAATCCAGCTCAGCCATGCTAACCGGCATGCCTCTGAGGCAACAAAGACCACACGCATCCTTCAGGCTCAAATAAAGGTACTTCTTGTTGCTTGTGGGACCTGGGCATTAACAAAAATTATTCTGAGCAATTGCACTCAAAATAATGATAATTATAATAATGATAATATTTATACCCCACCCATCTGGCTGGGTTTCCCCAGCCACTCTGGGTGACTCCCAACATAATATTAAAGGTAAAGGTAAAGGGACCCCTGACCCTTAGGTCCAGTCGTGACTGACTCTGGGGTTGTGGCGCTCATCTCGCTTTATTGGCCGAAGGAGCCAGCGTACAGCTTCTGGGTCATGTGGCCAGCATGACTAAGCCGCTTCTGGCGAACCAGAGCAGCGCACGGAAACGCTGTTTACCTTCCCGCCGGAGTGGTACCTATTTATCTACTTGCACGTTGACGTGCTTTCGAACTGCTAGGTTGGCAGGAGCAGGGACCGAGCAACAGGAGCTCACCCCGTCGCAGGGATTCGAACCGCCGATCTTCTGATCGGCAAGTCCTAGGCTCTGTGGTTTAACCCACAGCGCCACCCGCATCCCAACTTAATATTAAAAATATGATAAAACATCAAACATTTAAAACTTCCCTAAACAGGGCTGCCTTCAGATGTCTTCTAAAAGTCAGATAGTTGTTTATTTCCTTGACATCTGATGGGAGGGCGTTCCACAGGGCGGGCGCCACTACGGAGAAGGCCCTCTGCCTGGTTCCCTTTAACCTCACTTCTTGCAGTGAGACAGGCATAGGCAAACTCGGCCCTCCAGATGTTTTTGCCTACAACTCCCATGACCTCTAGCTAACAGGACCAGTGGTCAGGGATGATGGGAACTGTAGTCCCAAAACATCTGGAGGGCTGGGCTGAGTTTGCCTATACCTGCAGTGAGGGAACCGCCAGAAGACCCTCGGAGCTGGACCTCAATGTCCGGGCTGAACGATGGGGGTGGAGACGCTCCTTCAGCTTCAAACTTAGGGTTAGAAGGCAAACAAGAAGTTACCTTTCCCTTGTAGTACTAAAGTGGTTTCTGGGGAATCCTTGCAACCTGGGGAGAATGTGAGGGAAGGTGTTTAACCTTTTCCTGTCCTCTCCCCCATGCTGATTTTATTGAGCATTCATTCTGAGTTGTTTGCATGGTGATTATACAACAATGAGCATCTTTATTTGCTTCTTGAGTGTTTATATGCCTTCATGTTAACCATTCCATACATTTCAATGCAGTTCCCCATCACTTTCCTAACAGCAAAAAGTCCATTGCAAAGAAAAGTGGATTTATTGTGCTAGGTAGGGATAGGGAACCTCTGGTCCACAGCCTGATTAGTCCTGCCAGGTCTACCCATTTGGCCTACCAGGTCATTTTGGCCAGGCCATGACCATCTGCCGTACATCTGACATAAGGTATATGGTAAAGGTGAAAACCACATATGGGCCAGGTGAAACCACAGTAGGAAAATGAAAGGGGGTTCCAGGCACTCCTGGCCTGGATCAGGGGTGCCTTGGAAGCTCCAACCATCAGCTGACTGCCAGGGCTTCAAATCGCAGTGCACCCTTGGTTGAGGAATAGGATTCCTTGCACTACAATACAGTCAATCCTAACCCTGACAGACAGCGATATGGGGGATCCCATCTATAAGATTCCTTCTCTGCATAACAGGAGTAAAGCCTGACTTCATTGGGCCCAGTATGTGACCATGCTGCTGTTTTTCTCCAGGAACTGCAAGTACAACTTGATGATTCAACACACCTGAATGAAGACTTCAAAGAGCAGCTGGCAGTCACTGACCGACGTAACACTCTCCTCCAGTCTGAGCTGGATGAGCTCAGGGCTCTGCTGGACCAGACAGAACGCGGCCGTAAACTGGCAGAGCAGGAGCTGCTGGAAGCCACTGAACGTGTGAACCTTCTGCACACCCAGGTTGTTATGCCAAATGTTGTTTCCCTAACCTGCCGCACCCCCCATCACATTAGATCATAAACCAGACATTCTTACATGGAGTAGTGTCTTAGAGCAATGCAGGTTTCAGACAAAGTATGACCCCATTAACAAGTGCCGTGAATCTGGGTACACAAAGACTGTTCATTCTTGAGGGGGGGGGGAGAAATTAAAGCGCAAAAGAGTAATTTTAACACATTTATAGTTCGAAAGCCTCTAGATAAAAGAAAAATGGCTTTGCTGAACATTTCTGTGACACCTACCACCTTTTAAAATTGTCTAGTTTGCCTCCCGTTGTGCTCTCTTTCTGTCAAAATGATCTCTTTCATGATTTTACTCTTTGCTTATCCCAGTCTCTGCTACAATAACATTAAAGACTCTTCCCTGTCAAGGGAGACTTTAGAGTATTTACCCAGGTTCCATTGTTTTAAAATTGGCCTTACCTATATTGTTCAGAGTGAACTGTGCCTTAGAGTGGACTGCTCTCAATAAATAGAGCCTTTCTTTATTGCTAAAAATGTTTTCAATTTCCAAGTTTCAAAAATATGACACCGACCACTACTTCTGAGAACTTTCCAACATGAAACAGCTGAGTTGATAATAAAACATTAGCCGTTTTGGCACAGACATTATGTTCCTTATTGCTGTTGTCAACCATACTGAGATCAGGACATGATCCAGCCAATATTAACTACCTTTAAATCCAATTATTTTAGCAGGTAACAGTTAATTGTAAATCTTTCTTATGGAAAGAATGAGATTTACAAATGCATCATTTTGGCTAAATCACACTCTAGCTCTCTCCTTCACAGATTAGCATAAAAGTATCTGTTCAATACTGATTGTGTGCTTAATTACCCAGAGAAGTGGATTAAGTGATATTCGGGTTACTCTGATGAGGGATGCTTTCAAATGTCATTTTTTTCACATCAGGTGTAAAAACCAAAAGACATTCCTACACTACTGAATTAATTTCTCTCATAAATTCTGATGCTGAAAACCGAGGGCAATATTCAATACTAATCTTACTCAGAGTAGACAATTCAAATCAATGGCTTTAAGCTGCATGTCCATACATTTCACTAGGTCTGCTCTGAGTATGACCAATGGTAGATATTCTGATTCTATCTTAAAGCAAAAACGTGGCATTATTGATACTTTTGGTCTGTTCTATATCTCTAATTCTATTGTCTGCCTAGGAACTACAAAGGTAGTTAATGACACACATTCGCTTGTGCACCCAAGTATAATTTGTGAATTATACCCACCCACCCCCAGGTACAATGTGTGAATAGCCTCAGTGTAGCACTAGTCCTAGAAGGTGATAAAGATGATCATGTGTCCCTGAAGGATCTCCCTTTCTCCTCTTCCTTTCAAACTCAAGAATACAAGCCTGATCAACCAGAAGAAGAAGCTGGAGACTGATATCTCTCAAATGCAAAATGAAGTGGAGGAAGCCATCCAGGAGTGCAGGAATGCCGAAGAAAAGGCCAAAAAAGCAATCACTGATGTAAGTAGACAGCTTATTCCTGCTTGCACAGATGTCCAGTCTTATTCTTCCTGGTTTGCTGATCTTTCGTTGCCCATGGTTTTCGTTTCTGAATCAAGTACTGCTTTGCATGCTGGCAAGTCAGGGATTGTGAAAATTTATTTATTTAGACTCACTAGCAGTGGTGATCCGTTATCTTCAGAAGTCATATATGTTAGAACATCTATCATAATTTAGAAGGATGTTTGGCATTTTTATAGTGAAAGTGACCTTTTCTCCCCATATATCTTCATGCAGATTGGCTTTCACTGCATTTCAAAAACCCAGATGTGAAATTTGGTGAAAATTGGTAGAATAACAGCAGTGTTCCTAAATTGGGTGGGAGAAGCATTTGCCTCTCTGAAATATTAACTGTCTGTTTCAGATTTTTCCTATTGCCAACTCTAGTAATAATTACAAATGTGCTTAGTTACAGCTTAAACAGAAAATGGCTCAAGTGTAGGAATATAATAAAGTGATATCCGTACATAATACCAATGTGTACAACAACTCACATTGTGTTTAATTATACTACATGAAGTTATAAATAAAATTTATAGACTGGTGACTGGAAGTGGCCGCCGAGACCACATAACACTGGTCTTGAAAGACCTACATTGGCTCCCAGTATGTTTCTGAGCACAATTCAAAGTGTTGGTGCTGACCTTTAAAGCCCTAAACAGCCTTGGCCCAGTATACCTGAAGGAGCGGCTCCACCCTCATCGTTCAGCCCAGACACTGAGGTCCAGCACCGAGGGTCTTCTGCTGGTTCCCTCACTGTGAGAAGCAAAATTACAGGGAACCAGGCAGAGGGTGTTCTTGGTAGTGGTGCCCTCCTTGTGGAACACCCTCTCTTCAGATGTCAAGGAAAAAACAACTATTTGACTTTTAGGGTGAGAACTTCAGTACATAACACCCTCCCTGTGGAACGCCCTCCCACCAGATGTCAAAGAGAACAACAACTACCAGACTTTTAGAAGACATCTGAAGGCAGCCCTGTTTAGGGAAGCTTTTAATGTTTGATGTATTATGGTATTTTAATATTTTTTTGGAAGCCGCCCAGAGTGGCTGGGGAAGCCCAGCCAGATGGGCGGGGTATAAATAAATTATTATTATTATTATTATTATTATTATTATTATTATTATTATTATTATTATTATATTTTAGACTAAGGGCTCATCCAGCCTTATGCTTGTCCCATGCCTAGGAAGCATGGGAACAAGCGGTTTTGTCCCTGGAAAACACACCCTTCGGCGATAAATCAGAGCCAACATCAATCTTGAGAAAATTTTGTTTATGTTTGCTCTAATTCAGATTTTTTTGGGGGGAAGTGGTAGGGCAAAGTCTGGATAAGCCCTAAGACCTAGAAATGGTTCATTACTTTCTCCAGATCGAGGGAACCTGTGATCCACTAAATGCTGTTGGACTCCAACTCCCATTGGCCCCAGTCAGCATGTCCAATAGTCATGCATGATAGGACTTGTAGCCCTTCCTCCTGTTATAGATATTTCCCAGGATTTTGTAGTTGTCTCAAATCGCCAAAATTATTGGGACTCGTTGTTTGTTTGGGGTGGCGTTTCACACATTTATGTTATTATAGGCAGCAATGATGGCCGAAGAACTGAAAAAAGAGCAAGACACCAGTGCTCACTTGGAGCGGATGAAAAAGAACATGGAACAGACCATTAAAGATCTACAGAAGAGACTGGACGAAGCAGAGCAAATTGCTCTAAAAGGGGGCAAGAAGCAGATTCAAAAGCTGGAATCCAGGGTAGGCTTCTAAGTGTCCACCTTTAGAACCTGTTGTGTCAGCCTCCTTGGAAAATGGTTGGCATGTTCATTTTTAAAACGGGAGCTCAGTTCTGGCTAGAGTAGTAATGTTTTATTTTGAAATGCTAAGTGCTGGAGAATGATGTAAAAGTGCACTCAACAAACGTGCCAAAAGCTTTTGAATTTATAAAGCACGTTCTGAAGACCTATTGCTAAGACTAAGTTCTTTGAGCTATTCCTATGAGGCAGAGCCCAACAGGAGCACATAAATGCTTTTGATTCTGCCGCAGGTCCGCGAGCTGGAAAATGAACTAGAGGCAGAAGCCCGCCGCAATACGGAATCTCAGAAAGGAGTCCGCAAATATGAAAGGCGCATCAAAGAGCTGACATACCAGGTAATAATAACTAAAGTGGGTGAACTGAAATGTTGCGCTAGGACAAATACACATAATTTCCAATCACAGAAACTTGTTCTGATGTAAAGCAGCATTACCAAAGACTTTCTATATTATAGGCAGCAGCTAACAGCCTGCAGGCGATTCTCTACCACTTTTCTTTTCCTTCTGGCTCTTTCATCTCCATGCTGACTAAAATAGCTTTGTGGGATGAAGGACAGAGAGATGTCTGAGTCAAAGGAGGAAATGTTCTTATCTCACCAGCACTCTTCAGTTTCAGTCTCTTCCTCTGCCTGAACCTCTGACTCATTCCAGGAAACACTGAAGCAAGGGAATGAGAATGAGGATTGGTAGCTGAGAGGTCAATGGAATTCTCCAAGCATCCCTTTAGCTAGTATGTTACAGCTGATAGAGTACCGGACTTGCAAAATTTGGGTTTGAAATCTTTGTTCAACCACACATTTTTCTGGGTGAAGTTCACTGTACAACTCACTATCAGCAGAAACCTCAATAGGATGTCTATGAGATAAAATGGAGTGACCCAATTTAAATCATCCAGAGCTCATTGGAGGAAGGCTAGGATAAAAATTAGATAGAGTCTCTTAGTTCCATAATTCTAGATTTCCAGTGAAACAAGCTATCTAACTCTGAGGAGTGGATGGTTGCCAAGTTAACACTCAACTTATTTTTTTCCTATTTGTTCTACAAAGGCAGAAGAAGACAAGAAGAACTTAACAAGGATGCAGGAGCTGATTGATAAGCTGCAGGTGAAAGTGAAAAGCTACAAGCATCAAGCAGAAGAAGCTGTAAGTTGGTACAGTGTAATGTGTGGCTCTTATCAAATCAGTAATTCACCTAATTTCTGATTGGAGTTGTATTATTCAAACCGGGAAAGGAAGACAAACTGCTGATGTGTGACAACACCGCACAAACAGGTATCATCAAATCGCCTCAGAATCCTGGACATTGCAGCAATTTCTCTTCCCTTTTTGAGAAGCACATTTCTTCTACCTTCAAAAGCATAGAGGAAAGTTTAGAGAGTACATGTAAATCTTTTACTAATGATTTTGAAAACTGTGGGGCACAGAGAGCTGTGTCATTGCTTTGACCCTAAGTCCAGAATGTTTCCAAACTCCAATTTTTAAAAATGGTTTTCTTTTCCTCACCCACACCAGACCTTTCCAACACATCTAATTTTACAAGAAAAACTTGAATTGGAAGCACAAATAAATTAGGCACAGTTACTTAATTTAATTCAGTTTCAATAAATGGTTTAAATTTTTTAAAAAAGCACAGCACAGAAGCTTCTCAGTTTTGGAAAATTTGGTGTATTATTATTTTTTTAAATCACATCTCCTCCCCCTAAGAAATAAGGATGCAGACCTTCAGCAAATTGCTGTACTATGAAGCACCCCTATTCACTGTCAATCATGCCTCATTCTGTCAGACTTCATTCCATTTTCCTCCCTGCTAGTTTTCTATGTATACCTCTCCCCTACCTTGGAAAAAGGGTTAGGCAGCATTTCATGGTCACTGGGCACACTCAGTCTTGACTAGGCCGTCTTGATAGGTTCTCGCAACCTTAAAGGCTACTTTCTCAAGATCTTTTGTACTCCTGGAACCTTGCATGTTCCTTCTCATCTGCTGATACGGCCGTCGTATGTGGGAGTGGTGCAGTTTTGTCTTCATATACAACAGCACGCATGCTGCATCTCTTACCAAAAACAGAGAGGATTATGTTTCTGCTGCATTCCATTATCTACAACAAATCTAAATACAGTTTCATCTCACAGAATGGAAAATGAATGATACTTTGGTACAGAATCATTTGTCTAAGGCATTCCAGTGCTTGACAAAATGATGCCGCTGTCAGAAAACATTTCACTCTGTATTCCTGTTTTCGCTTCAGCGAATACCACAGACAGATCTTCTGACTTAATGCACTAAAGATCTGAAACAGAGTAGTATGTGTTTACTAAAAGTGTCTCAACGTATTTGGAGTTCCATAGCACAGCCACTGGCTGTACAAGCAACTTTCACATGGCTTTCTGCCTAGAATGAGAGTTCTCAAAGGGTGAGGCAGGCCTACTTACAGCAGTAAAATCTGTTGCTGAGCATTCCTGTAAACTCAGATGTTTACATTTCTGGATTAAGTCACAAGGCTGATTATGGAACTGTTTATGGAGTCTATGGATATGTCTTTCCCAACTTGGTGTCTTCTAGATGTTCTTGAATTCCATTATCCCTGACTTTAGGTGGGTGACTCTTATCAGTTCTTATTTCTCACTTAAGTTCCACATCTCCACATCAGTCTGCAATTTTTAAAAAATCTTTGCAGAAGATCACCAGCATTTTAGTGTGAATTTCTCCTAATTTACATTTTTTTATAAGACATTTTGCCTAAAATACACATATTTGCAAAATAATTTCTCCTAATATAATGCATGGTTATGTTATGTTTACTAATGCATTTGTTTTTATGGACATTTTACTACAGTTATATGCATTTTTTGTACACATTACGTGGCTGGCAAACTGCATTGCCAAAGTTGGATATGTGTGAATATCAAAGGATGAGTGTTTCAGTTCATGTATTATTTTGGAAAGTGAAAAATTCATAGGCTCATCTTTAAATGTAAACTGAATCAGATTTTTCTTCCATTCCTATCTCTAACTTTTTGCCTTGCTGGCTGGAAATGATGGGAGTTGTAGTCCAATAACATCTAGAGGGCATCAAAGGTTGCCTTATTTAGTCTTGGAGGCCTTTGTGATAATAGCACAACTTGAGGGTCTAGAGCAGTGGTTCTCAACCTGTGGGTCCCCAGATGTTGTTGGACTACAACTCCCATCATCCCTGAGCTCTGGCCTTGCTAGCTAGGGGTGATGGGAGTTGTAGTTCAACAACATCTGGGGACCCACAAGTTGAGAAAGGCTGGTCTAGAGCAATTTGCTATTTCTTCACCACAGAATGTGGAATTTTTCTACGCTGTTTGCTTTCCAATTAAAGGCTTGAAATCACTACCTGACATCTACAAAACTCTCTCACTGATCACTGATGGCCTCCCTGATAGACCTTTAAAGATGAAATTGCCTTTCCTGTGTAGCAAATCCCACTAAGTTCCATGAAATGTTTACCATTGACTCACATGCTTTTCACAAGTAGTGGAAGGTCCACTACTTGCTAGATTATGGAGGCAAAGCACTTTTGATGTTCTTTTCTCCCTCCTACCAGGAAGCTCAAGCCAACCAGTACCTTGCAAAGTACAGGAAGCAGCAGCATGAGCTGGATGATGCTGAAGAACGAGCCGAAATAGCTGAATCCCAGGTCAATAAGCTCAGGACCAAGTCAAGAGATATTGGCATAAAAAAGGTATGTCAAGCGAATCGGGGGAGAATGTTTCTGGTAGAACCTTCAGAAAAGCAGGGCAGGACATTGGAGTGAGGTGAGGATTTCATGGGCCTGCATCTCAGACAACCCATCTATGTGCCTGCGTACTTGGAATAGTCTTTCCTATTTCTCCTCTGCCTGCCCAGTTTGGGAGAAGGGGCAGCAATTCCAGCCTGATGGGTTGTCTCCTGAGGTCCCACAATGCAGCCAAGAAGCACTGAAGGCTGAATCTTTCTTGACAGTTTACAGCCGAGCAAGGTATGCAGCAAATAACACTACAAAGGCACAGCTGTGAATGAAACACTGCAGACTGCAGGAAGCCATTCTGTTGTGGAATGCTTGTTATTCCAAGCCAAACTGCATGGTATCAATATATTAATTTAGGCAAAACCAGATAATGCCCAACACATATTAATCACTCACTCTATGTTTTGCCCATGTAATGATGCCTTTGGAGCTACTGTAATTAATATAAGAATTAATCCTCAAAGGTGCAATCCAGATCTATTAAAATCAATGTGGAGGGTTGACAATGATTTTGTTAGGATTTGGATTACATCCTAAAACCAGCTAAAACTAGCAGTTAACAACCTTGGCATTGGCTTATTCGCATTATTTTGGCAGCTGCAACTCATAGTTTCTGGTTATATCAACATTATTTTCTCTAATGATGGGTATTGAGAAAAATCTTATTCACTAATACAAATGAAAGTCCCCGTAGAACAGTAGAGGCTAAGAAGGAAGCCTGTTCTGGCCGACATCCATATTGCATAATCCTATGATGCTGTTGTCATGGCCACCATTCTGAGAGCTCCACGGGGTGACACTAAGGTAGAAAACACAATCGCTTTCAACCTGAGTGAAGCAGCAAAACTTCCTCCTTCACATGATGTCTGTAATAGTCAGAGACTCACAACCATTTCCACTGCAGGTGAGGAAAGTGCCCACATTGCCTGTTGCTTCTTGTTACAAGCAGTTACAACGCTATAATAAATCCCTGTTGTGATTTTGTAATGCACAGTGGAGGTGGCAGTTCCTAGCAATTTTTGGAAACTTGGAGGCGGATAAATTTTCCCCCCAAATCAAAACCATTAGCTCCTCTTCCTGTTTTTCAAACATTACCAAAAGAATGCTACTCACAAGTAGAAGTGCATTTCCGCATGCAGGTCAAGCAGTGCTAAATGCAGGTGTTGGACAGGGGGCAAGATCTGGTTAATAGATGGGGGACTGTGTACATGCTGTCATTCAAACATATGAAAAGATTAGACATTGCCTGCTCTTAGAAGTAAATCCTGTGGGATGAGCATAATGTATGTAGCTATAAGTCATTATCACGCTCTTGCCTTTTAGGGTTCCCAAATAGAGAGAGGTGACACAGTAAACAATAATCACATGCACGGTAGGCTTATCATTATGCAAAAAATATTAATAGAATTCTTCCAGAAGTTTTTCAGGCGACAAGAAAAACAACACTCCACTAAACACCCAAAGCCAAGTTTTAGTAAAGAGATTTATCCTTCATTTTACTTTTCCACATATGTTTGGGCAGCAGAAATCCATGCAGATAAAATGCAAATAGAAAACACAACATTTTTTTTTAAAGGTTATTCATAATTTGTACATTTAAACCCTGCCAGCACCTAATATCTGAAGAAACATGCTATGCTTCTTCGTTGAGGAAGCTGCAACTTTGTTTATCACCACAACACTAGACCCTTACTCAGCCTCTCCATTCCACACAGTTCTTAAAGACACAGATTCCCTTTTAAAGCCAGGAAAACTTTCTGCCCAAAGGTTTTCAGAATATCTCCCTTTCCCACCTCCGATGGGATGTGGACAGACTGGCTCAAAAGGTCCCCTTCATAGCCTCATTCCCTATAGTGCAGTTTACTTAGCCCAAACCCCTGTAATGCAGGAATCTCAGCCATTCAACCTCTGTTTAAAAACCTCCAAGGAAGGAGAGTCCTCCACATTCCAAGGAAGTCTGTTCCGCTGTCAAACAGCTCTTACTGTCAGAAAGTACTTCCTGAAGTTTAGTCAGAATACCCTTTCTCATAACTTGGATCCATTGGTTTGAGTCCTACCCTCTGGAGCAGGAGAAAACAAGCTTTCTCCGTCTTCCATGTGGCAGCCCTTGGTTACCTATACATCTGCTTCCTGTACACTTGGCCCTCTTACATGTAATGTAACCAGATAGAACAAACATGTGTGGGGTAGGGATAGCAAGCCCCACCCCTGACTTGCACATCAGAAGAGAATGGGCACTCACCCCAATTCTGATGGGGCAGGGGTTGCAGCTCAACCCAGCGCTCCCTAGGGCACAATGGAAAACATTATTTTCCTCATGGCTGGCCAGTGTAACCCTCCCCGGCTGGCTGAAAGGGCTTGTGGGATTGTCCACCAAAATTTCCATTTGAACTGGCCAGTTGCAGGCAGGGGGGAGCTAAGCAGCAGACCAGAGTAAAGAATAAATTAGTTGAACTTAATGGAAGTTATGGCTAACCTGTCCCATTGATTTCGGTGGGAATGATGTTCAAGGAACAATGCAATCTGCGCATGTCTACTCAGAAGTATGCTCCATTGTGCAAAATGGGTCTTGCTGCCAAGAAAGTGAGTATGGGATTAACGCCACCTTGCTACAGTTCACATAGTGCTTTATATGCAACTCATCACGGGATGCCACAGCCATGAGGTGGTGCACCATTCCTCATGGATGCTACTGTACATTCTTAATTTTGTACTTAGCTATGTGCAAACGTGTTGTGCCCTGGTACTTTTTGAAGCCTTGTAAGACGTTCTGTGTTGCACTTCTGTCTATATTGTATATTCTTCCTACACAAAAATGCATTCCACAAAGGAATTCAGGACGAATTCAGTGGGCCATCTTTCCTAGGAAGTGTGTAAAGGATTGTTGCTTTAAAAAGCCATGCAGTCATTTCAGTTGAGCCTAAACTGTGTTGTCATATTTTATAATGTATTTCAGGTTCACGATGAGGAGTAAGCCTATTATGCCTTGAGTAGCTGCTGGCTAGACTGGTTCTTGCATAGAAACCAGCAGCCCACCGCTGAAGCAGAAGAAAACAGGCATCTTAACAAATAAACAAATATCAAATTAAAATCTACTGATGTCCTTGTTATATGTATTTTCAGTTATGTTTCACAATGCTTGGTATTTGGATGTGAAAAAACAATTTCAGCACTTTTTATAAGTATTTAGGATGTTGGAGATAAAGTGCAGATTTCACGGGAAAACATGTTTTGTGGAATCCCCATGGAAATATCTGGAAATTGCTTAATGACTACCTTTTGATGTGACTTGTACAGGACAGATTTCCACCACTGCCCTAGACCTATGAGTCAGATAGCCTCTTATTCATGATCTAGAGGTTGTCATCTGGTTTAAAGGCACAGTAAAGCATACTAAATGCTCCCATGCCAAGCTTCTGTTTCTGGAAACGCAAGGAATTCAAAGAAGGTGAGCTATAGCTCTTTTTTATTATTTAAAAAGTCCCTTTGAAGACTTTGTAATGAGTTACCTTAGCCAAGAGCAGTCTGTCACATACATGGCCCTAACTCCCAATCAAAGGCTTGTACCAATCTCAAATTCCAGCAGGCTAAATCTTCTAGCATCTCCTCCTTGATGTTATGAGCTTCAGATCTCCTCTATATATGAAGCTGCTGCAGAGGAAAGATGTGAGACGCATGAGCAGGTGTGTGAGATGACAAGACGTTAGAGATAGGTAATAACTCAGCAGTCACCCAGTTTATGGAGAGATTGAGGCATTCAGATAAAGGAGCCAGGAACTCCATGAAAAGCAGCAAGGGAAATATAGCTCTTATTAGGCTTATGCATGTTACCAATTTTGTCACACCATATTTTCTGCTTTCCATTGACCTTTCCGCTGAAGATTTTCATTGAAAGGGGACATAGCCTGGATCTATAGTATATATTCAGGCATAATCATTCGTATATCTGGAGTCCTACAAAGGAACTTCCCATCACAGCTGGCTGCCACCAGTAGCAGGTGGACAAAAAAGGTTAATTTGTTTTTCTTATTTATCTTAGATAGTGGCTTCAGGGTGCATGACTCTTTGCAGTAGTGGTACGGAACCTGAGACCCCCATTGTGGCTGGACTTCAGCTTCCATCGGCCCCAGTCAGTATGACTAATAGTCAAGGACAGACCTTTGCCCAGAGGGTTTTTAATCCACTTTGCAAAGGGAGGTGGCAGATGAAAGAAAGGTGAAGTGGTAGCACAGCAAACAGGGAGAATATGCATTATTATGTATGTAGATAGTACAGTCGTACCTCAACTCCCGGGTGCCTTGGGAGTCAAACGTTCAAGCTCCTAAACGATCAAAAACTGGAAGTGAGTGTTCCAGTTTTCAAACATTCTTTTGTAAGCTGAACATCCGACGGGGCTTCCACAGCTTCCGATTGGCTGCAGGAGCTTCCTGCAGCTAATCAGAAGCTACACTGGTTTTCGCAAGTCAAACGGACTAGAATGGATTCCGTTCGACTTCCGCGGTATGACTGTATATGTATTTAGGTTTCGTAGGGCAAGGGGAGTAGGTGGTTGTGCCAAATCCTCCACAGAAATGGTGGGTTTGGAGGAGAGAGTAGAAGGGAAAGGAGGCCTCCATCCTTTCCACTAGGTCCAAGGTGAAGATGTGGAAGCCTCTTTGGTTTTGCCAGATTTGCCGTGACAGCATCAATGCTCTTCCACCCACTTTGTCAAACATGTCAGGCGTGCCTTCTGACAAGACATGAGGAAGTAATTATGTACTAATGATTCCAGGCTATTAGTGGATTCTTTGGAGAGTGAGTGACAAAAGAGTCTTTAATTTTGGAAAGTGTACCTCTGTCACTGCGTTCCATTCTTCCTTGACAGTAGATAAAGTGGCTTGAATGCATAATCTAATGGCCATGAGGGATTTTAAAGCTTTGCATTGAAATATGAGCCAGCACTCGACTAGCACTCTGTCACTTCAGGGTTGCACACCACATACTGACAACATGTCCACACAATGGCAAAGATTTAAACGCATTTCTCTTAACTAGCATTCCCAAAACTGGTGTCCTCCAGATGATTTCAGTTACAACTTACATCAGCCATAGTCATAGTCTGAGGATCATGGGAGTTGTAGTCCAAAAAATATGGAAGACACCTAGTTTGGGAAGGCTACTCTTAATGACTGACAAAGCAGTTAAGGATTTAGGAGTTAAAATGGGTGTCTACTTCCAGAAAGACTAGGGAATTCCTAGGTTCTTTATGAACTTGCACCAATCTTCCTTCATGCAAAGGGACTAATAAGCACATAAATCAATCATGGCTATTCCTCTGTATAGGTAGTTATTATTGTTGTTCACTCATCTACACCAGACACAAAAGTTGTTGTTTTTAAGCTATTTTTTAGGAAATTAGGCAAAAAAATGACACTTCTGACACTTCCGATATGGCCAGACATTTTAACCACTTTTTGAAAATTCTGCCAAGATGCCATTTTTGACAGACGAATCCCGGCTATATCCAGGAAATTCCAGATGTATGGCAGCCCTATATTATGGATCCTTGTGGCAGGAGAATAATCTGCCTCACTATAGTGCCTTGTAAATGTATAAAGGGTAGCTGAAAACATTTTTGTGCAAAAGTAGATCAGAGTTGGATTTGAACTTTGGCTGAGCACTGGTGACCTGTACTGCCTGGGTTATCTGTCTTATTCTGATAAAGACTGATGATTTTTCTTCAGGGGAACCTGGAGGTTGCATAATACCTCAGAATTACCAGAATCAAGGGGAAATCTGTAGACTAGGGCCTGGCCACAAGGTTACTGACCATGCACTGCTATATAGATCTATTGATTTCATTTAGTCTATTCTATGACCTAATATTCAGTATCCCTCATAATTAATGCCAATATGATATGATATGATGATATGATATGATATATACAAGTAGGATCGGTCTCTATTATATCAGGATGAGTGAAGTTTGACTGCATTTTTTTTTTTTTTGTCTATGACAATTGGAAAGCAATGTGTTTTCCCCCAATGGCTTCAAAATGTCATTCTGCTTCCTGAAGAAGTTCCCTGCCTGTTTTCATTCAAGGGATGTTGTTCCATCTGATCATTTCCCTCAAATACAAAGTAAGAGCTGTTAGAGCTAGTACTATAGGACATACCCCCAGGGACATTTTAATTGAAAACTTCTGTACTGCATGTTCCGAAAAATTTCAGCCAGCTGTGCTTGAGCTATAAAAGTTCATTGCAAATCAATGGCAAAAACGAAAAAGAAAGTATCTGGCAAATACAGCAGAGGTTGGAGGATGAAGGTTGCATTCAAAAAAATTCAACCACAGTTTATTTTACTCAGAAATGGCACTATATATGTTGTTAGGGTCTGTTTTACATTTAGAAACACCTAGATTGCCAGCGTTCAGCACAAGGAAAAGAAACAAACTTTGCAAGCACAAGTATGGGGAAAACTCATGGGGTATATTTTTAAAAATAAATATATATTTAAACCAATTTTGTTTAAAATGTTGTAATAGAGGATTTTGAGTAATATTAGTTTTGGCATTATATCCATGCAATTATCACACACCTCTTCATGTGAGAGATCCCTATTTGAAATGAACTTTCCTGGTCATCTTAATTCTAAGCATTAAATACAATGTGAACATAAGAGGTGCCTTACACCAAGTCAGGGCATTGAACAGTAATGTTTTATGAACTGGTGGTGGCCCTCCAGGTCTCTTCGAGCCCAGCCTGCCAGGAATCAAATCTAGGATTGTCTGTATGGAAAGCATGTGTTCTACCGCTAAGCTGTGGCCCTTCTATCTGCCAGTGGAGGATACAGAGGCTCTGCTGCACGCACATTAGGATGAACACCAAGAAAAATGTAGTGTAAAGAGATGCACATTTAAAACACATTAATGTGAATTAAGATGCACATTAAGTGGAGTCCCTCAAGGATTAGCATCCAGACCTGTGCTTTTTAACTTGTTCGTTTAGATTTAGAGCTAGGGGTTAGCACTGGGGTAGCCACATTTCCCAGAGTTACCGAATCATTCACGGTGGTCGAAACAAAACGATCGCCAAGAGCTCCAAAAGGCTCTCTCCAAACTAAGTGGATAAGCAGTGGAATGGCAAATGCAATTCAATGTAAACAAGTCTAAAGCGATGCACAGTGGGTAAACAAACAAACCCCAAATTTCACATCTATGTCCATGGGGTTTGAAGTGGCGGTAACTGACCAAAAACTGGCCATTGGGGTCACAGTGGATAACAGCTTGATGAAGATGTTGACCCAGCGGTGGAAAGGTGAATTCCATATTACTGTGGGATTGAAAATAAAACCGGCAATATCATTTCACAAATCTATGGTGAGACCACACTTGGAATGCTGAGGTCAATTCTGGTCACCTCACTTCAAAAAGATACCATAGAGCTGGAAACGGTGTGGGAAAGATCAACCAAAGGATCTGGAGCAGCAACTCCCCTATGAGGAAAGGTCATGACATTTCAGGTTTTTCAGATTGGAGAAAATGTAAAGAAGAATACAATAGAAGTGCATACGATTATTCTCCCTCTCTCATAATACTTGAGAACCCATGGTCATCCAATGAAACTGAATGCTGGAAGAAACAAAACAAAGCACTACTTTGCATGGCACATAGTTGCATTATGAAATTCCCTCCCACGAGATGGTCACCAATATGGATGGCTTTAAGAGAATTAGACAAATTTGTGGCAGATAAGTATCAACAGCTACCAGCCTTATTCAGAGGCTGAGAACTACAACAGGTCTTGCTTGGAGAATCCCTAAAGGCTTCCGGTTGGGCCCTGTGATGTTGGACTAGAAGGGCCTTTGGCCTGACCCAACAGGGCTCTTTTTTGAATTAGCATCCATTCAGAGGCACCTTGGCGGGCTCCAACCTACACTCATTCCACAGACATGGCTGCAACAGAGGGCTGTGAGGCAGTTCTGCATATATTTTGACTACTCTCTACATGGAATAGCCCTACCTATGACATTCTAGCAGGAAGTCCACGGTTGGATTCCTTGCAGATTGGATTCCTTCCAAAAATCCATGCACTGTGCTTCTTGTATCACTACCTCCCCAGTTACATTCCTTTTATCCGAATGCCTGAAATGCTGCGATATGTACAGCCCAAGGTGCGTGGCAGCGATTGCCAACACGTATAATGCAGTTAAGGTGTATTCAGCCTGCTATCAGTTTTCCCGGCTTAACCATTGCTTCTGTTGTATCCAGAGTTGTGTTCCAATAACAGCTGTACAAGCTGCTGTCACTCAGCCGAGGGCTATGCAATTTTAATGTGCTTGCACGTACATTTCCTCAGGGATTTCTGCATGAAAAAAGGGCTGTTCAATTTTTGTACTTGGGGTTTTGATCCAGGAGCTGATCTTGCTTGTAATGGTGGCGGCACACATTTCTTCCAGTGAATTGCTTTTGTCATTACCAGAATAGACCAAGGCAGGATATAGTCTCCAGACAATTGCCCTGTTCCTTTTCTACAGCCTTTAAAAGGCAATGTAGAAAGATATAAATATTTAGAGAGAGAAATGGTGCACTTCCTTCCCAAATTGCAAATGCAACCTGCCAGTAGAACCATTCGTCTGGACGCAATGGTGCAGAGGAAGAACTGTTTGTTCGCTTAAATGTTGGTGCTCTGATAATGTTTTTTGTTCTATCTTTTAAAAATACATTATTAAGGGGAAGAGAGGGGCAGTTGCATCATCCTTGCTTCAGTTGCATCACATACTCATTCTCAGGGCTCAACTAGACAAAATGGTGAGAGATCTGTGATTGAATCTCCTGCCATCAATTGTTTTGAGTTAAAAGCAGCCCCGGGAGGCCATAGAACAAAGCGAGGTGGGTTTTTCAAACCTCTTTCGCCCTATGTCATTTTCCAAATCAAAATTGCCCGCCCCCGCTGCTGCTACTTGACCTATATATGGAAACATACAAGTGCTAGAGAGCAGTATTTTGAAGTGGAAAATAGCATGAGAAAAAGGTATGGTCAAGGTCTCGCCCCGAGTCACTGCCCCAACCATTTAAAAAACAAATAAATCAGAAATCTCAGATTGTCTTGTCCAGTTTGGCCCTGGTTTCTTGTTTGCCCAGGTCAGGGGATGAAATATCAGTAAATGTTGTGCCTCCCCTCTGCCCCAAAGTTCCCACTTTCCCAAATTTGGGAGAAGTTCCAGGGGCAGCAGTGCTAAGGCTTCACTTCCTTTTGGAGATCGCTGGAGACTTTAGACATGTTCGAAGTATTTGATTTATTTCTAAATATGTATGTAGAATGGGGTGGTTTGGAGGTCTAATATGCCCCAAGCAAACCTTTCTGGCATGAAAGACCCAACCATATTTTAACAGTGGCAGTGAAAAGGTTGAAATTAAATAAAAGTAAAGTACACAGAGCACTGGAGTAGGCTGAGCCCAGGGCTGCAATGCACCTGTGCATTAGATTGAGCATTTAATGAGTGTTGAGGGGATGGTGTGCCCTCCAGGTGATCTAAACAGCTAAGCTAAGGACAGGGGGAGTTTAGACAGCTAAGCTAAGGACAGGGGGAGTGTATCTGCCTGTATGAGTGTGTGGATGTGAGATGTACCTGCATCCCAAGGTGCCTTCAGTTTCTTCTCACACTTTAGCTCGCTCTGCTTTGAAAACTGCTTCTGTTGTTACCCTGAACTGAACCACGGATACTTTCCTTTAGTTGGAGCGGGTGACGCCTTCTCCAAAGTGATGCCTTTCGTTGCATCCTGACATATCCTTGACACCTGGGAATGTTCTCTAAGCCTAACTAAACTGTTTAATAGTGCTGATATTATCCCATAGGGGGCAAAGCAGCTACTTTTATTTAGTTTCACTTTCCTTTCTGATGTTTGTAGCTGTTAGTCCAGCCCAGGTTGGCACTGGAAGAAGACTATTCTTGGCTCTGATAAAGCTCTCAGCCCCGTTTGAATGGCTGCTGGGGGATTCATTAGAGTTTTCTCTGGCGATTCCAGAGAAAACTCTGTATCATTAAGCCATCTTACAAAAATTAGCTCCCATTAGTGAAACATCTACCAGCCATCCCAAGCCGTTAGTTTTCTTGAGAAAAGTTGTATCCTTAACAAGGGCCATAGCTCAGTGGTAGAGCATCTGCTGTGTGTGCAGGATGTGAGTTCAATCTCCAATATTTCCAGGCAGGGCTGTGAGACATGTCTGTCTGAAACCCTGGAGAGCCACTGCCAGTCAGAACAAGATGGAACAATGGTCTGACTTAGTATAAGGTAACTTCCCATGTTCCTATATAAAACAAAACCTATGAACAGCTTGTATTCAGCAGTATCCATAATATGATCTTAGATAAGCATCCTTTGCTCATGGAGACTTGACAACAGAACACTATTCTTGAAGGCAGTCAGAAGTTTGCTATCTGCTAGTTAAGCTATCATATGCAGATGGCCAACAAATGTCACTGACTTGGCCAGGAAGAAATTTGGCAGAGGATGTGGTCCATCATTTTCCAGCAATGAAGAAACTGAACCAAGTCATTTGACACCATGCCAACCATGTTCTGACAAGTCAAATGCAGAAAGAATGCGCATCCAAGTCCCAGATGGAAATTTATATTTAGAATTGAAAATGGCATTCAATTGGGCTGAAGAGTTCCTAAAATTCTCTGGGTGCTGACACTAATGATGAGGAAAATGTGCAACTAGCATTTTTAATTGACATTTATTACAACAATGCTGGTAGTGTCGGAGTGGTATTCAGTCCAATGCCAATTGAATTGTATTAGCCTACTGACTGTTGAGATTCACTAAAAAGCACGGGTTTAAGCCTTGATTTTGATGTACGTATCTCCATTTTTGTCCGCAAATCGGGACTATTTTTAATAGTGCAATCTTATGCAAGTTTACTCAGAAAGGAGTCCCACTTTGTTCAATGGAACTCACAGGCTAGCTCACTGCGCAGTCTAAGTGCAGTCTAAAACATGTAAAATTATATTCCTGTGGTTTAAGTGTGCCCATAAAGGCATTATAAGAAAATACCTACCTTGAACTTTTAATTTCAACTGTCAGTCTCCCTCCAAAACTACAGGGCATTTCAGTTGCAACATTCCATAGGCGGAGAGGAAATGCAGAGAGAAGCATAATAAGAAGGGAGGAGAGCAGGAGCCCTTGAAAGCTGCACACTAAGAGTGCCTGCCTGGACAGCGGACCTATTACAATGAAATATATAATACAGTACATCTATTTAAATTACAGCCATGACTTCTAAATCTGCATATGGGAATAAAATGCAGCTCGTGCAAATAATAAGTAATAATAATAATAATTTTATTTCTACCCCGCATATCAAATCTGTGCACCCCTTTTTTAATTTTTGCGGGGTTCGTGTGTGCTTGATGCGTTCCCTCTTTTTAAGGCGATGCGTACACACGTCTCCAGCCGTTATAAACGCGCGAAGGGCTTAACCAGTTCCCTTCCGTCGTGACTGAAAAGAAACGGCTCCTTCCTTCAGCCCCTTTAATGCCACGGCGCCCCTGCCCGCCTCCGCCTCGGCGCTGCCCTTTGGCAGCGGACATCGCAGCCTCCCTCTCCTTCTCCAGGGAGACGGCGAAGCAGACTCAACGCACGTGACTCCGCCTCCGGGGACACGCCCCTTTCGCGAACCCTGGCAACGGTGGAACCTCAGCCGAGACGTAAAAGGGAGGTAAGGAGGCTAAGCGGAGGGAGACGTACGCGCGAGGCGACTGGGGGAGGGGAGCGCCGTGCCGCTCTACGCACGCGCAATGAGGCGGCGACGAAACGATTGGGTCCGAAGCACCAGGAGAGAAGTGATTGGCGGGCGAGTATTCGGATGGGCGGGGTTTGTTTCCCCGGCTACGCCGCCGCCGCCGGCCTCGCCGCTTGCGTGTTGTTGTGCTGGGCAACTCCGGGCTGGCTGAGGGATGGTCATGGCGGCCGCTGAGGAAGGCGACGCCGCGGCGGCGGCGGGGGCCGTGGAGCGGGGCCCCGGCGCGGTTTACCACATGTTCGTCATGATGGAGGACCTTCTGGAGAAGCTGAAGCTGCTCAACTACGAGGAGGAGGCGGCGCTGCGGAGTCACAACATGAGGCCGCCCTCCAGGTAAAAGCGGGCCTAACTCCCGTCCGAAGCTCCCGGCCGAAGAGCGAAAGGCTCGGCCCTGCCCGCGAGGCGTACACGTGTCCGCGGCAAGGGATGGTTCCCACGTGCGCCCGCCCTGCTGGGTCAGCCCTGCCCCTGGTTTGTCTCCTCTTGGTGGCTGGCAGTTGAGTTTGTCTCTTGGGAACTCTGGTGGTTTGCGATTCCCCCCTGCAGGTGAGTCGGTTGGTGACCGCGGCGCACGCTGAAGTTTGTGCAGGACGAGTAATGTTGTTTGGAGAGCGGGGCCGCCGGGTGCTTTGTCTCTGTGCCCCCGCTCACTTCGGGGTGAGCAACTCCGCCGGAGCAGAAGAGAACTAGCTGCCAGATAAAACGTGCATAGGCTTTGTGCAGCATGTCTGTATGCTTCGTCCGTTTTCCAGGGCACGCGTTTTCTTCTGCAGCCCCTGAGAAGCTAAATGATTAAAAACTTACATTTTGGATGAGTTAGGACTGTGACGGCTGCACGTTTTCTTAAAATGTTGTTAAACTTGGTGGAACTTCCTTCTGATGGAACATGCGTGTGGTTATGCTGCAAGAGTTGGTGATTTTTGTTTTTAACATGGATGTATTGCTGTTACTATTATTTATTGAATTTATGTACCCCCCTATACGTAGGCGTTTTGGGACATTGGCGCCCTTCTAATTTTTAGAAGGCGAAGAACTTTTACTTTGGAGGAATCTGCTCATAAAAGTGTGCCGTCTAGTGCAGCAGCGGGTTGTGATCCAACCAGTGTTAAGATGGGACTTTTCTAGATGAACTCTTGAGATTTTGCTTGGTGAGGAAAGGCCTTTCCTCTCAGACTGATAAATAAACAATGTCATTTTTTTATTAGGTGAATAAGTAGTTTTTAGACATTGAGGTGTTCCATTTACAGTGCTCAATCCTGCAATGTCAGTGACCTAAATTTGCCTAGTGTTTGGGAGTGGTGTTGAGATTGTACATTGGATGTACATCAGGCACAGATTCTCACTCTGTGAGAGTCAGCAGAATTGGCCAATTTTTTGAGGAGAGAACTTGCTTGTTCATTGCAGTCTTATACCTTTGGTGTACCCTGCTTCCATTTGTTTTGTTCCGCTTTCCTCATCTGTAACCCTTAGACAATGTTGGACCTGTTCTTTGTTCTGCTCTGTAATACACCGTAAATTCTAGTGCTCCAAAGTGCACCAAAGTCCTAGTGGGAGACACTGTTAATGGATCTTAAGTTAATTGTCTTAAGTTATAAAAGTTGAACTTTATCAGACTGTGGCTTACTGATCACTCCTCCTTAAGGGTAATTGTTGCTCAGAATTGTTTGTGCTGTGACTGGTGAAAGTTTTGCAGGAATTTAAGCTCTAGCTCTGACTAGAGTCTGTTACATCTTTGAAGTACCAAAGCCATGTTTTAGGGGTTTTATTTTCATCCTCAAATTGTAGCACTCTTTTCATCTACAGATAAAAGAAAATACAAAATAGTATTCATTCATTAATCAGCCTGATTTGTTCATATTGTTCTTGTAACTCTAGCAGAGTGGCTGTAAACATGGAATAATTTAATTTAAGTGTGGCCAATTAGGCTTTTTGCCAGCTTGACTGTTAGTGTCAATCCTTTTGCAGTTTGGATGGAAGCTGTGTTCAGAGAACTTGTGTATGTTGCTCAAATGCTGTGCAGAGTAAAATTTTTGCAGTTTCTGCGTTCATGATTTCTTTTTAAATGTTCCTAGGCTTTATACTTGGGGATATATGTAGTACACTTGACTTATACATACTTACCTAGGAGTGTCCCATTGAACTCAGAACTTCTGTGTAGACACACAAGGAATTGCACTGCCGGAAACTAATTGTTATCTGAATGAGGTTTTAGGTTAAGAAGAAGACGGTGCTTTATCTTGAACAGCTCTTCAAAGCACCTCGTTGCATCAGTTGATTATTGTTGTGCACATTTTAGTCCTTTTTTGTTCATCAGTGTAATCCACATCAAAGTTACAACTTCTAGGACTACTCAGCTATAATTAAAATGTTTTCTATGTTGTGCAAGGTAAAACCTTTGTTCTCACCTTGCTGAGCTATGTTCTTCCAACTACACTTTACATGTCGGCTTTTCAAAGCATAGTTGATGAAAATGCAAGATGAGATGCTGGCTTGTTCCAGACATCATTATCCTTCACCTGATAAACAAACCATAGTTGTTTGTTTTGAAATGAGCTGTGTAGTCCTCCTTTTGCCCCTTCCCACCTTCCCTCCCATGTGCACTTCTGTCAAAGCTGTCTTTGATTCTTAAGACTACAGTTTCCTGTGGTGTCTGAACTAGTAAACTGCACTTTATGCACTCCCTTGAGTCCAGGTTACAACACCCAGATCAAATCATCTATTCTCTTCTTGAGAATAGCATGGATGCTGCACCACACACATTAGTATACACGCAAGGGGGCAGTCCAGGCCCCCAGAATAGGAGGGGGTTGAATTGTGGAGAGCCTCTGCCTGCAGAGTCATGCCAGTGTCATTCAGCTTGCTCAGAACTCCTCTTTCTGCCTGTCTCCTGGGTGGATGACTGGAAAGACCCCCCCCAATAGGGTGTTGGGGTGGCATGGGGCTGAGCCAGATTCCTTGGATCTCAAGGCAGCCTCACTGCTATCTGTGTAATGGCATTAGCCCCCATCTGGGATTAATTGCTGCACCACCTCCAAGCTGGCACAGACATGTGCCTGCCCCCCCCCCTACCTTTCTGCCCCAGCCAGCTTGCACAGCAGGGATGGGTGGCCCTGCTGCTCCATTAAGCCCCGCCAGGCAGAAACCAGGGTTTGGATTGTGCCAAAAATTAGCAGATTTTCAAAAGAATATTATTCACTAGCATATTGGTGTAGCTGATTTGCAGACTTGGTTTGTTGCGGGCAAAAATGGCAGATCTACCAATTAACAGTTCCGAGATATGTTGTACAGTTTCATTACTTCAGTTTAAATAGAAAACTTGCATTAATTTGGAAATGCTTTTAATGAAATGGTAAAGTTATTAAACACTTTCTTTTTCCGAATTGGATATTTTTTGAAATAAATTATAATCCATTTTTATTGCAGATTTAAGACACTCAGAATATGAGAATTGAATCAATATTGTTGCATGTGAATAAATCAGATTCAAGTAATACAGCCCCCTAATACTACTGATTGCTATACAGTATCCTGTTCTCAAGATACGGGCAGGATTTGGGAGTTTGGAGTTTAAAGTATTGCCCAAAGAGACAAGTCATTGTTTCTGTTTCTTGGGAAGAATGTCACTGCAGAAGTACATATTGTTATTATAGTTGATATAACTCTTTATACTTGCCCCAAAAGAAAAACACTCATGTTGAAAGGTGTCACTTGCTTATACAGTGGTACCTCAGTTCCCAAACACCTCCGTTGTCATATGTTTCGGGTCTCAAACACCGAAAACCCGGAAGCAAATGCTTCTGTTTTTGAACGTTTTTCGGAACCCAAACATACGATGCAGCTTCCGCTGAGTGCAAGAAGCTCTTGCAATTGATGGGAAGCCACACCTTGGTTTTCAAACGTTTCAGAAGCCAAACAGGCTTCCTGAACAGATGACGTTTGAGAACCGAGGTATTATATGATACAGTGGTACCTCGGTTTACAGATGCTTCAGGTTACAGACTCCGCTAACCCAGAAATAGTACCTCGGGTTAAGAAATTTGCTTCAGGATGAGAACAGAAATCTCGTGGCGGCGCAGCAGCGGGAGGCCCCATTAGCTAAAGTGGCACCTCAGGTTAAGAACAGCTTCAGGTTAAGAATGGACCTCCAAAACGAATTAAGTTCTTAACCCGAGGTACCACTGTATTGACTACATTTTATTTAATAAAAGCAGTAGCTGCACTATCGTATTCAAAACCATGCAGGCCAGGGCAGATGGTGGAAGGTCACTTGGTGGTTTAATTGTTTGCTGTGCAAGTTCCAAGGTGGCACAGCTAAGGAGTTTGATTATTGGACCCCTCAGGGGACCTGAGAACTTTGGATCTGTGGATCCATAGCCTCTGGTATGCTGTCTCCAAACATTCCATTAGCGGGGCTTTCTGTTAATATTAATGTACCCTGTGTGTGATAATCTCTTGTTTCCTCATTTTTATTAAAGAGTTTTAATATTTTGTTCTTTTTTCATTCTGCTTGTTTAAGTTTCTAGGATACTCCATGTTGAAGGCCTAGGCTTGGTAACAGTAGATTTTTCAAAACAGGTTTTTCAAAATACTTCCAAAGCTGCTGTTTGAACTTAGCAGATAGAACTTCATTTTAAGATAGGAGGGTTTGTTGTCCAAATTTAATCTCTCTTTTTGCTTTGTAAATTGTGGACACTGTAGTTTAGGAAATGATACCTGTATGGGGTGTTAGGGGAAGGGTAGAAAATGCTGCTTTGGGGATAGTTTGTCTACCTTTGGTCCCCACCCTGCACTCAGCTCTCACTTGTGGCTCTTAGAATCTGTCAACATGCGACAGTGGCCACACCCTGAGAATGCTTTTGACTGGCCAACTAAACCAGGTGAGGCAACCCGAAGAGTCTCAAACCCTCAGTGAGTTAGGACCTTTCTCTGCATGCAAACACAGGCCTCTGGTGGATCGAGCGTACAAGATCAATAGTAGGTCCAGTGGTCAAGAAGGCAGTCTCTGCATGTGCTGCAGAGGGAAATGTTGGACAGATGGGGCTCATCAGCCTGGGAGTGTAGCCCATCTAGGAGAAGGAAAATTCTCATCCTAAACCTCTGCTGCCTTGTGGGATATCTTTGGGAGAAGAAAAGGCTGAGGAATAGACCCTACACAGATGTGAGTGGAATCCCTAAGACAGTTGAATGGCACCTTGTACGCCTCCTGCTGGCAACTCCTGCCATCAAGCTGGTGCCAGATGTATAACTCTACTTTCTTTTGGACCACATCGGCAAGGCTGAGAAGGGAGTCTTGTCATTGGGGCAGCCCAGGACCTCCATACACAGTACTGTCCAGGAAGGTCACTTTGGTGCTTCTAACACAGTGCTTTGCCTTTACCACCAGGAGCACATTCTCTGTCTCTCAAGACAGACAGAAGCCAACAAATGTGCCCCTCACGCCCCAATTTGAACATTTCTTATTTGTAACAATATTTCTAAAGTAAATTTCTGTTTTATTGACAATATGAAATATTGTGCGTTTGTCTGAACTGCTGTGTACTTCCATAGAAGGTCAAGCTGCAAAAAGTTTTATAAACTACCTGATAATCAAATCCCCTTTGAACTCTCAAGTGCAGCTTTAATACTCTTGAGAACTGCATTTACAGCTTTGGACTCAAATTAATTATCTGCAGGGTGTACATACACAATGGAAGTCATGGCTCGTTATGGCATAACATTTTGAAAGTACTGCAAAGAAAATAGCACATCTTTCGGGGAAATTGCTTGTCAGTGAAATACCAGCCCTAATGTCATCCTTGAGAAAAGCAATTTGGGGGCATAGAGGGTTATAGTAATACAGATAAGTTCTGTTAGCTAGAAGGACGAGATTTTTCAATATAGGGAGGCTAATCTTTGTTTTTTGTTTTTTCCCTTTTAAAACAGGCACTACTTTGCACTGCCCATTAACCCAGGTGAACAATTCTACATGTTCTGCACCCTTGCTGCCTGGCTAATTAATAAAGCAGGGCATCCTTTTGAGCAGCCACAGGAATACGATGACCCAAATGCAACAATATCTAGCATACTATCAGAACTGCGGTCATTTGTAAGTGGATCATATTTTGTGTGTATCTGAAATTTTTTGGTCTGTTATAATCACTTTGTAGGTGACTTATATGCTAGTTCTTTCTAACTGATCCTTAAGTAGAACTATATTGATTTTTAAACAGCTACAATGGTTTTGCAGACCATGGTCTAGGATCAGGGATATGTTTTGTCACTCTTATCATGTGTGGTTAGGCTGATTTTAAATCATGATTGTCAAATACCCAAGTTCATCAGTACAACCCAAGTGTCATACTGCATGTGCTCTGTGGTTGACACTCCATTTCCCATCTTTTCACTTACTTGGAAGTAATCATGCTGTGTTTCTATTGGGTTGGCTGCATTTTGGATTACTGAAGATTTTGGAAATAAAAAGAGGAGAGAAAAATGGAATTGTTTTTAAGGATCAAATGGAAATGAAAACACAGCAGAGATGCTTGTATGCTGCAGTTGAATTTATATTTTTAAAAGGAAGGTGACTAAGAATTGAGCTTCTCTTCTCTTACTTTGTTTCTTGAAAGCTTTTGCACTAATGTGTGTGCATGTTCTGATACAGAGTTTGACTAAATGAGAAGTTTTCTTAGAAAATAGACCCAAACCACACTATTACTGTTAGGACAACTAGTTGGAAGACAGGACTAGTTCCTGTTCCTTGAATAGTTGTGTGGAAGAGGGAACCTCAGCAGGTGCAATTTGTCATATCATAGAGTTGCAGAGTGGAAAAAGTGACAGGGCCTTGTCATCCTCCTCCTCCTGAACAAGAGTGATTCTGTCTCTCTGCTGGAGCAGGTGGGTGGATGCAACAGCAGTTGCTTTGTATGGGAGTGATTAACACCAGTTCATTTCAGTGTTGCTTCTAATAAGTGGGTGGGGGAGTTGGTTCTGAATATAATTTTTTATTCTCATGCTGTTTTCAGTTCTTCGAAACAAAGCCCGAGCAGACGCTTTTTCATGTGTTAAGTGATCCTCTGGCTACATGTAAACAATATATCAAAATGTGGTTGGAATTAACCATAGCTTGAAACTGAGATCATGCGTTGCAATTCCAAATGTACAGCAGACAAACATACTTTAGAACTATGTTGTAATTTTCTTTCATGGTGCAGCAAGCTTCTGGAGGCACAGTGATGGCCATAACTATGACTTGTCAATTCGGACATCACACCAAATCATAGTTAGCACTACCCGTAGTTGGGAAACCCACTGCAAACTATTCTTTCTAATTTTGGTTTGCCAACCAATTCAGAACCATAATTTCTCAGCTTGGACATCCTACCAGTCATAGTTAAGTTGATTTAACTACCGCTTGGTGTGGCATGGTTGACTAGTACTGGGAGAAAAATGTTCACCTAGTTTCTGAATAAATTGCTATTTTAGTAATTCCAGGAATCAAAGATGAAACTGAATAAGTACCAATCCAAGTAGTGTAGCTATGGATTATTGCCAGGAAAGGTCTCTTAAAAGCCAATGAGAAACTATTATATGTTTTGGCTGTCATGCTCACATTTAGACAGTACATCCAAATAGAAAACTCAGATGTAAGCCAGTATGGATCATGATTGCAGCAATCAGAGGTCTGGTTCACACATATATGTATAACAATTGATTTCTCATCACCTGATATTTCCAGCTGAATGTATGAACTGGCTCCATATGTGATGACTCACTCACACAAACTTTTGCTTCTTGGTGCTGTGTACACACACACACACACACACACACACACACAAAAAAAAAAACCCTTTTGTGAATGAAGAAATGTAGTTAGTAGATGTAATGATTCTGCATTTCTGGTAATGATATCTATCTTTGTTTTAGGGCAGATCTGTGGATTTTCCTCCTTCAAAGTTAAAGGCAGGTTATGGAGAGCAAGCATGCTATGTTCTTGATTGTTTAGCTGAAGAAGCCTTAAAATACACATCCTTTGCATGGAAAAGGTATCCTAACAAGATAATCTCTTACATTTCTTCTTTTCCAGGAATTCAGGCATTAATTGTATAAAATGAGAGAGCCAGAGCAATGCAAGCAGGTCATTTCCAACGATCATCTTCTAATGCTGTCTTTTGAGATACATGCCTAAATTTTCACACCACTTTAGTTTTTGTTCTTGTATGTTTTCACAGTCAGTCTGCACTTTTTACTCAGTTGTTGTGTGAGAGCCAGATGTCCTTCTCATGATGGAGGCTCTATTACATATATGTTTTGTTTTCCTACCATGTGAATCATAGTATTTTTGATGCTGGTAAACTGTAGTGCTCTCCCTAGCAAGAACACCTATTTCCACAACTGTCTTATCTCTCAAATTTTTAGCCCACCCTTCCTTCAAGAAACTTTAAGTGGAGCATATTGGGTTGTCTTACTTTATTGTCTCAATAACCCTGTGGGATAGGTTAGTGCTGAGATAGACTTGCTTGCTTCAATACCTTCATGTGGAAATATTGAGCAGAGACTTGAATCTGGCTTGTCCATGCCCAAGACCCACACGCACTGTAGCCACAGCTCTGCAAACAAACAACTAGTGCTCATAGCATCACAAGTGCTGGTGTAGGGCAGTGCTTAAGAACATGAGTTGTAGATTCTGATTTCAAATCTCTGCTCAGTGCCAAGCTTACTGGGCAGTTCACACTGTTTCTCAATGTCTTCTCCCTTCCTTCTCTGGGGAAATGATAACATTTGTCAGCTTCATTCAGTTACAGATACACACACACCAGATCTTTTTTAATATGTTTCTTTGCCTCTTTCATACCAGGGTACTAAAAATGATGTACAAAGCATTTAAACTACAGTATAAAAAACCATTTACAAAAAGATTGCAGTACAAGTGCCATTAAAATACAAAATAGCTACAATACTATAATAGTTAAAGGCAAGCTGGAGCAATACAAACCAGGCAGTGTATACCAGGCCATGCAGAGACGGTGAAAGTGGTGTACCCATTAAAAAAGAGAAAGAAAACAAAGTATCATTTAAAGATGCATGCAGAAGAAATCAAATATACAAAACATGAACAAATTGGCTTAAATTTTCAAGATTTCAAGTTTGCAAGTACTGCAAACTTAAATAAACCCCAAAACCAAGAAGCAGATATTCCCATGATCCACCGTGTAGATTGGTTGATGGTTTTGGCTAACAGATATCCCACAAATGTTGTTTTTAATGGATTGTACTTGAATTTAGGGATGCGGGTGGTGCTGTGGTTTAAACCACAGAGCCTAGGGCTTGTCGATCAGAAGGTCGGCGGTTCAAATCCCCACGACGGGGTGAGCTCCCGTTGTTCGGTCCTAGCTCCTGCCCACCTAGCAGTTCAAAAGCGCGTCAAGTGCAAGTAGATAAATTGGTACCGCTCTGGCGGGAAGGTAAACAGCTTTTCTGTGTGCTGCTCTGGTTTGCCAGAAGTGGCTTAGTCACGCTGGCCACATGACCCAGAAGCTGTCTGCGGACAAACGCCGGCTCCCTCGGTCTATAGAGCAAGATGAGGGCCGCAACCCCAGAGTCGTCCGCGACTGGACCTAATGGTCAGGGGTACCTTTACCTTTACTTGAATTTGATGAAAAATAACATGGCATGGGCTGGATTTTTTCCCCCACAACAGGTGTCTCTGTCACCTCTCAAAATAGCAATGACTCATAGCAAAAGAGCAATGTTGAGCATTGCATAGAAATATGTATATGCAGATTTCAAACTAGCTGCTTTTGTTTCCCTTTTCCCTGTGAGCTTTCAGAAGCACAAAAAGTTAATCACTGTCATTCTAAAAGGGAAACCCACCACTAAGGTGATGGCCTAAGCAAGGTAAGCTCAGTAGTCTCCTGTTCCAAAGCCACCTTGGAGTTAATCCAAAGTGTGGGTTCAAGATCATGGATATTGGATATTGGGTTCAAGATCATGGTTTTGGTGAAACCAAAACCTCCAAGCTGTTTCACTGATATCCTGAAGCAACTGGCTGGGTTTTACAGCAGGGCTAGGTAGTCATTGACTGGAGGCTCCACCCGCACAAGTGCTGCCTACTGGTTATTTGAAAGATTGGTGCCTTTTGCTGCAACCGATTGTTCTTTGGGGTAACACAATTTCCAGCTGTGGTGATCTCCCAAAACTCTCTTGATCCCATGGGAATCTACAGTCTGGCCATCCAAATCTGGTGGCAAAGGTCTCTTCTCAGGGCTAAGGAAGGCTCTGGTGTCAACAGACCTACATGGGAATAAATCAGTCTCTTCCTCAGAACTGCAGTGGTTGGAGGACTCAGACTTTGAAAGGTCCTGGTTCAACACTATGGCCCAAAGAGCAGCAGGCAGGCATGTTTAAAAAAATAATAATTAAAAAATAGGCCTCCCAATGCTCTAAATTTAGGGAGCAATCCTAACTCCTAACCAGAGAACAGTGGGCTGTAAGGAGTGGCAGACCCACAGCTGCATCCAAAGCCCTGTTGCTCCCACCAGCCAGAGTGCAAAGAGGGGAGTTTTTTACCCAGATTTTGCTTCACCAGTTCCAGGCTGACACAGTAGACAGGACTGGAGTAGCTTAGGATCCAGCAGATCCATGGCTGGCCCTGCTCACAGCCTGTTTCAGGCCCTTACACCAGTAGTAGCCTGTCAGCAGCCCGAGCTTTTAATGAATGCAGGGGACCCTGTGCACTGGGGGAGCATGTGCACACACACACACACACACATGAGACCAGCAGAGATAGCTAAGGCCAAACCTACATACATACACACACACACACACCCTCTGGCAATGCGGATTGGGAGTTAGCGTTGCTCGGCTGGCGTGTTTGACTTATAATTAATATAAAACTATAGCATATTATGTTAATTTTACATGCTGCATAAATATCTCAGAGCTTTCCAATAGCACAACGTATTTGAACTGAAGTATTTGATTAAGAGAAGAAACCAACATTATATTCAAACCAACTCAATGCTTTGCTTGGTAATTCCCCCCCCCCCCCCCCGGAATGCTTGTAAAAAATTTAAGGCATGGCCATTCAATAGCATACATTTTTCTTATATTATTTAGATTTCTAAGCAAAACAAATTAAAGCACTGGAGCTATTAACATACTAATTTTAGTACACTCAAAAGAGCTATACATTTATGTTTATTGTATTTGCATAGATGCTTCCTAGGCATAAACATCTGAAAAACTTAATTACAACTTTTAAATTGCCTGATTTGATGGATATAATATTTTTCAAATTCATTTTATGAAACAATGCATTTTTAGAAACTTTCCACAGAAAAATATAGCAGCAGAAGATTTTTCTATCCCATATCACTGCCTAGCATTGCTTTCAAAACAGCTGCATTTTTACATTAGCTGTCTGTCTGTCTATATCTGTTGTAACATTCTCAGAGGCTTGCATTCATTGTTTTAGAGCAACATATCCAACAGAGGAGCTAGAAGAAGAAGCAATAACAGAAGATGATGCTGAACTGACCCTTAATAAAGTGGAAGAAGTAATTGCGGTAGGTATAGGTAATTTTTCGTTGACATTAATTTTATTGTTAAATGTGAAGACACTTTTCTTAGGAAGTGGAAATGAGGTAAAGGAATAATTTTGTGTTCCACATGAAAGGCTTATGAGTACGGTTAGCTCTGTAGTACTGTCTTGAATTAAGAAGTGTAAATAGTCAGTCTGAGAAAGTAGCAGTCTAGTCTGAATATTTTGTTGATATAACACATGCTCAGTAGATTTGTCACTTAGAAAGCCCGTTAGGCTTGTCTACATATGGCGGCAGAGTGTGGTAGTAGTGTTCATTCTGGATGATCCCCTTTTTTCATGTTGCCCCGGGGGGGGGGACCTTTAGAAACTAGCAGAGTAGGCTAGAATTGTTGCCTAAACAATTGTGAAAATTCTAGTTTAAATTGCTGCAAATCAAAGGGTTCAATGCGCTATATGTTTTGTACTGTATATTAGCAGTCCAAACCATTCTGTGGCACATGCTTGCATGAACCGAAAGCTAGTATATAGAATGAAAAGGACTGATACAGCTTGCAACAGTTCATGTTAATGTGGCAGCAATTTTCCAGCTGTCATAATCATAGGAATTTCTGCCTGCTGCATCCATGATTGCTCAGTTTCCTTGCCGTGTTGCTTGTTCATGCAAATACATGTACGTGTTGGAGGGGGATTTCCAGCCGGTGGCAGAGGACAGAGTGACTCCAGGAGACATAGGTGTAAAAACCCAAACTAAAACGAAGACTTTATTACTAAGCAAATAAACACAAACTCTGGTGGATGTTATTCCTGCAGGCAGGCAACAAAACTCAGCTTTTTCCTTTATAGCAACGGTCACCTGCAGCCAATTAATCCCAGAAACTTCTTAAAGGTATACCACTGTTCTGTGCCGAATGTCCTCTAACAGTACGGTGGGTGTCCAGAATTGCTCATACATGGAGCAAAATTTATTGTGTGAGCCAATCTCCAGTGATGTTTTAACGCAAGGGGGCAATGCAGTTGTGGTAGCTATTGCCAAAAAGAGTGGTGCTCCTAAAAAGCTCCATGGGTAGTAGAATCACAGAATTGTTGAGTTGGAAGAGACCATGAGTGTCATCTAGTGCACTGCAATGCAAGAATCTTTTTGCCCAATGTGGGGCTTGACTCCACAACCCTGTGACTAAGTCTCATGCTGTACTGATTGAGCTATCCCAGGGTCAGTACATAATACCATTTTTCATTTTTCCTTTGGCAACGGTTGTGATGCAGTTCAGAAACTGTTTTTTAAAACACAATCCTGCATTTCTTGCTGAACAATATTTTTTATGTTCTTAAGGAAGAAGAGACAGATAATGAAGAAAACTACATTGATCTGAACGTTTTGAAGGCACAAACTTACAAATCGGTAAGCGTTCTTGCTTTTCAGTTCACATTGTGCTGTTGTGCAAGTGAAAGACATGTCTGCTCATTCATGGTGCCCATTGCTGCTGCATTGCTGTGTACAGCTTTTCACAATCCTTTGAAGGATGTCCACACTCTTCAAGCCAATGCCTGTGTGTGTGTGTGTGTGTGTGTGTGTGTGTGTGTGTGTGTGTAGCACAAGAGTTAGCAGATGTGGAAAGCCTCAGCATGCAATTTGAGTTTCACTTAATGCATCATTGGAAGCACACATGACAGCTTAGTCCATCTATATACCATAAATTCTACAATATACCATCAATTCTAGGTACCATAAATTCTAGAACTTCTCAGTAGTAGTTATGAATTGCATCTTGACTGTGTTAACAATGTCAGTCAATGTTTAATTTGACTATAACTATAGAATGCACAATGAATTATGCATTGTGTAGAGTCTTTAAAGACATCATTGTAGTATTACTCTTACGTTTACTTTCTTACAAATCAAGTATACACATGCTAACTTATCAAACTAGTATTATAATTTGTGCTTAAGTAATACAAAAGTTAATTTCAGGAGTTTCCCCATGTTAATTATTTGATGGCTTTTACAAGCAGTGGCAAAGAAGACATCTGTACAGGGAGGTTTTTAATGTTTGAGGTTTTATTGTGTTTGAAATATTTTGTTGGGAGCCACCCAGAATGGCCAGGGCAACCCAATCAGATGTGGGTGGAATAATAATAATAATAATAATAATAATAATAATAATAATAATAATGTGAATTAGTAGTCATTTAAATGTTGGTATGCATCATCTTCAATGTTTGTGCTGGCACTGCAGGTCTTGAAATTTGTGTTCTCTCTGGTATTACTGCATTTTGCAGTTTCATCATTTGCTGATGTGCATAATGTAAACTTATTGATAGGATATGATTGAATCAAAGCAAGAAGAGATTTTAGAATCCACAGTAGATGCAGCTGAGTGGAACCTTGAAGTGGAACGGGTACTACCACAGTTGAAAGTCACAATCAGAACTGATAATAAGGTGAGTAACGACAGTGTTTTGTAGTGGTTAGAGTGTCAGACTAGGACCTGGAAGACCAGTGCTAAATCCCCTCTCAGCCATGAAGCGCACTGGGTGACCTTGTCTCTCAGCCTAACTTACTTCATGTTGTTGTGGGGGTTAAATAAGGGTGGAGAGAACTCATTGGAGGAAAAGGTGGGATATAAATGCAATAGATAGATAAATAACTATAGTGCTGCTACTAATGCAGTAACCCAAATTCCTGAAATGACCTTACCTTGTGTGTTTTTAAAGGCCCAGACTGTAATCAACACATTATAAATGCTATAAACAGTCATTTCCAAATCTGATTTAGAGATCCTAGTTGCCTTTTCTTCTGCAAAATTTCATAGTTCGATGTGAAGTGCTATTTTAAAGCTACTTGACATTTGAGCACTTAAAATAGATTAGTGTCTACAAGCAAAGTACTTGAAACCCAGCATAAACATGTTTGTACAGTTTTTAGATGTAATGATCCTATTGAAAGTGGTGCAGATGTATAAACAAATAGTTTTTAGGAGGGCATTAAATGGATTCCCTCAACTACCTAAACATTAGATTGGAGTAGCTAATGTAGTGCCCTCCAGGTGTTGTGGACCACAAACCACATTAATCTCAGCCAGCATAGCCACTAATCAGAGATGAAGGGAGTTGTCCACATCTGGTGAGCACAACGTTGACTACCCATGCTTTGGATGTTCAGATTTATGTTGGTTAAGCCTCTCCTGAGGAGAGCAGCTTTTAATGATGCTGTCTCCAAATTAGTCCCACTGTTGGACAGTTGGCATCAAACCATCTTTGACTTCTGCATTTTGTGGTGAGCTCTACTGCCCCCATTTTGCTATATCAGCTTTCTCCCGGTGTAGCCCTCCAGTCTCCATCTAGTTCTCTGCTTATAGCATCTGTTTTGCTTGAAGCAAAATGTAAGCCATCAGGGATTCCTGTTGATTTTATTACTGCCAAATCTTAGGGCCTCTTTTTCATCTGTATTCTTTTTGGATTCAGGCTGTCTTTAGTTGTATTGATCGCTCTGCAGTTTGTGTATTATACACACACACATGTGACTGTATTCTTCTGTTCACACTTGTAAGACTTCATTGGAATCTGTCAGGGTTCTACTCTCCTTCTTCAACACGAACACTCTGGCTGTATTCATCCATATACATGAGTATAATTACCGTCATTTATCCACCTACATGTAACTTTTCACTTCTATCTAGCTACGTTTAAATGTATTGCTAACATTTACTCATGATTCCTTGATGGGTTTTTCCAAACTGAACATTCTGAATTTGGAGCTCTTTTTCTTATCCAAATTGTTTTCCTCCATCTTCCCCCCCCCCCCACATCCTGTCTGGAAGGCATCAAAACCTTGGGATTGTCTTCAGATATTCCTCTCATATGATGCCAGGCGACTGATACTGTTTCTCAAACATATAAAAATACAAGCTTAGTTCTTAGCATGCACCTCTACAGTTTTCATGGTTGCTGCAACTAATGTAGATAGAAAAAATAGAGATAAAATAACCAAATTAAAAGTGCTGAAATCAGTTTACATCTTCTCACAGTCTATACAAAACTATGACAGCAGCAGAGTAAAATTTTCAGATTTTAAAGGGATTATTCTCTAATTTCACCTCACTCTTTCAACAAATACAGTTCTTGTCTTGCTCTTCTTTCTTCCACATTCTCTCCGAAGTACATCTGCTAAAATCTGGTAGCTTCCCTGTTGCTATAAAGATTCCTCCTCTTAAGCCTGAAATGACTCCTTTTTACCTTGAGTTATTTCCCTCAGTCTCCGCTTCCTCCTGAGAGACCTTGTTTTCATAAACAGGACATGAAGTGGTCAACCTGTGTTTGACCTGTCCCACTTAGGAGTGCAGGTTGGTGTACAGGGGTGTGTGAGCGTGATTGAATGCTGCTAAATACAAAAAATCTCTAGGTTTAGCCTAGCCTTCTACCTTAGTATAGAGAAATTTTCTTTACAGTCAAGGAGTATTCAGCTTTGACACAGACTTATACGCCTCATCTGCTGTTTAAGAGAAGTGTAAGCTTCTTGTTTTTGTGTTTCACACAAGTTCATCTATTGTGGCACAATGACTAGAGTGTTGAGCTTGGAGATAAGAAATCTAGGTTCATATTTCCACTGAGCTATGGAGGGCACTAGCAGTCTGTATCTTAATGTGATGACTTGTTGTAAGACTAAAGTGTTGTAATACACATTGAGGCTTCTTAGAGAAGCTGTGCAACCCCTTTATTCTTCTTCTCTCACTTCTTCTCTAGCTAGTACATTCGGATATCTCCAACACAGCATAGTTCTATCTGGTTATTTTGATCTGATGATTGTCCATATGCATCCATCTCCTATGCCTGGGAGAGCTTCTCTTATGCTGCCTGCTGTGTGTTACTCTTGGCCAGTCCTTTTCCCTTCCGAGATCTCTTGGTGCTGGTACAACATACAATAGTATGTTGTTTTAAAGTGATTAAAATTCTGCCAGTGCTAAACTTTAACTATTCTGTAGTGAAGGCTGTAATGAAGGTTTTGATTGCATAGTAAATGCAATCTCAACCTCTTGTATCAGAAGGAGTGGAGTTGGAATCAATGTCAGTGTTCAGAGAACTCGGCTAGAATTATTTCTAGAACAAGAATTGTCACAAACAACAATCTGCAGACAAGTATGCCACAAACTTGCTAAGCCATGATTTGACAGGTCTGAAGTAAATTACAAGCTTGCATATCACTTGTATAAAGCCTTTTTATTTAACTTGCAGGACTGGCGAATCCATGTAGATCAAATGCACCAGCACCAAGATGGAATTGAATATGCTTTAAAAGATACCAGGGTGAGTCTCTGATACATATAAGTAATTCACATACAATGGAGGTGGTTATGAGTTTGTGACCATTCAGGGGATTCTCATTGGAGAACTTCCCCTTTGTGTGTATGTGCGGTCTCAAGTGCTTCTGATTCACTAGTTAGTAAAATGAACTGCTGCTAGGCATTTGGTTTCCTCCTGTGCTAGACTTTCTCTGTTAGCTGCCACTCCTCTTATACAGTAGAAGTTTGGGGTACATGCAAGCTTGAATTGTAACAGAAGTGCTGTTGCTTAAGAACTTTGGATCTAGTTTTGGAGGAGCAGTTGAAATATTTCCCCCGCCAACTCTCTATGTTCCTTCAGTAATGCACTGGCATGGTCCAAAGAACTATGCGAGCTGGTTTTGAAAGTGAGCGAACTTCCAAAAGTTTGCTTGTATATGGGATCAATGGAAAAGAGAGTCTGAAGTCCTACTGGGCATGCCCAAGCTCTTGAGTAGATCTTTAGATCCTTGCCTAGCCTTCAGTGAGAACTGACCCATTTCAAACTCTGACAGGGTTACCTCGACAAACTTCACAATGAAATAAGCAGAACTCTGGAAAAAGTGAGCAGTCGAGAAAAGTATATCAACAACCAGCTGGAGCATTTGGTTCAAGAGTACCGTTCTGCACAGGCACTTCTGAGTGAGGTAACAAGCTGACTGTCTCTTTGTTTTTCTGTAGTCTTGGATTGCTGTTAAGAGGCTGTAGTGTTGCCTCTTCCACCATTAACTCTAGGTTTCTACTGTTAAAGCTCAAGCTGTGACTTTTACTCATGTGCTATTAATGATGTAAACATAAAGAATTCTCTAGGTTGCTCTCATGGCCTTTTAATTATAGATCAGATCATACAAGTCTTTCATTTAAGTTGCTTGTGTGGAATAGGACATATCTCAGGGGTTCTTCATTTTCCTCTCAAGGTAAAAAAGTTGTTTCTTTTATTCACAGGCCAAAGAGAAATACCAACAAGGAAGTGGAGGAGTAACAGAGCGGGCTAGAGTTCTTTCTGAGGTAGAACTTTTCTTGGTGGTATTTTACAGTCCAGATGTTTTGTGTGTGTTTTCTCTCCAGAATCTTAAAATAATGACAAGACAAGCATTTCAGTCTTCATCTACTGTGTTAGTACGTTTGTGATGCAATTAGTTCTAAGACTTACTCCCAAGTAAGGACATAGACTCGGTATTTTAGAAGTTTTATGTTTGAAATCGTAAACAAACTGAAAGCAAAGACTTAATCAGTCTAGTTCATCAGGCATTTCTCTCATTTGAGGTTATATCACTTAACTCCTTAGTTAAGTGGTTTACTTTGCTGACTTCTGTAAAGTTTTTCAGGCTGAATGAGTTACCATTCCTTTTCAAATTACTTTTTTATAAGCACTAAGCTTTAATCTTTATTTTTATGAGATGACTAATATTAAATGACAGGAGTGCATAACTTTGTATGACAAGATGGGCCACAGATGAGTGTTTTCATCTGCACCAAATCACAGTTAATGGAATTTGTTCCCTTAATCCATTTTGCATTCTTGATGATACTGGATGGAAAAGTGAATAAGCATGCATATTCATCTTGGCTGCATGCCAGTCCTGGCACAATAAAGAAATGATAGGTATGAAGCCTTCATTTAACCAGGGATCCTGTAAGAGCAGGTAATTAAAGTAACAGAATCCAATTCAAGACCTCCAGTTAAACTGCAAAATAGTGGTTTGGTTGCACTGCTGTCATGATTTCGTGAACATTTATATTTTCTTTTCTGCTCTTGCCTTTAACCATTATGGAATGAGTAAATGAAAATCTTGGCTGTATATGAAACAAATCCAGCTGGGATAGTACAGTGGTATCTCTGATTACAAACTTAATTCATTCTGGAGGTTCGTTCTTAACCTGAAACCGTTCTTAACCTGAGGTACCACTTTAGCTAATGGGGCCTCCCGCTGCTGCCGCGCCGCAATTTCTGTTCTCATCCTGGGGCAAAGTTCTTAACCCGATGTACTACATCCTGGTTAGCGGAGTCTGTAACCAGAAGAGTTTGTAACCCGAGGTGTTTGTAACCCAAGGTACCACTGTATTGAGTAAACACACATCACTGGCAACAGTATCTTTGAAAGTGATCTGCTTGGGCTGATAATAATTTGTTAGTTCATTTAGCTTAGGGCACACATTGAGACTGGGTGCTTGAGGTTTATTCCACAAAATGTGAGGATGGAAAATGACCCTTACTTTTCACAGTTCAGACAAATATTTATTAGCGTTTTGTGTCTCAAGATAAAGCAAAATGGCCTTGTGAAAGCCAAGTAACCTTCTCTCTTTGGCTGTGTTTTCCAATACAAGGGCAGGCCCAGACAAGCCCAGGAGAAACATTGTGCTCTCCCACTCCCTTCTCCACTTCTCGCAGGGCTGGGAGGGCAACTTCCACCAAGTTTAGTTCACTTTTACAGATTCCTGGATAGATCCACTTCAGTTATGCAAACCTTGATATATAATTAATATGGCAAAATGATACTAATCCTGAGGCTACATCGAGTTTAGCCATTCTTCATTTCAGACATGCACTAAACAATCAGCAACTAGTAGCCTAGAGAGATTAATCAATCATAATAATTGAATTGTGGAGTTGGCAGGGACCCTGAGGATCATCTAGTCCACCCCCCTGCATTCTATGAATATGCAGCTTCCTCATACAGGGATTGAACCTGAAACTTTGGCATTATCAGCACCACACTCTAGCCAACTGAGCTATCTGTGCGCAATGATGCTATCATCTCTTGGGTCACTTTACTTTTGGCTTGTATTTAAATTATTCTGAGGCTCATAGTATTAAAATCTGCATGGGTACCTTCATTTTACAAAGGCCACGAGACTAAAAAATTAGGGTAGTGGCATCGCAGGAAACCTTTTTTAAAAATATTATCAATTTTTATTAAAAGTTTTCAACATAAAATACAATAAAAGCCAAAATAATCTAGCGAAGAAAAATAAGGGGGGGGACAGGAAGAAGAAAAGGAAGAAAGTAGAGAAATGGAAACATAAGAAGAGAAGAATAAAAGGCCCTCTGTCACAATTACATCTTAACCCAAGCATAGGCAAACTCTGGCCCTCCAGATGTTTTGGAACTACAATTTCCATCATCCCTAACAGGACCAGTGGTCAGGGATGATGGGAATTGTAGTCTCAAAACATCTGGAGGGTCGGAGTTTGCCTATGCCTGTCTTAACCCATATTCCACAAACAGAACAATGAACCCTCCCATCTCTCACCTTTTTATGTCTGTGAGCGCTTAAATTCATGTTGTTCCTTGTAAAACCAGTGGAGATATCTTTGGTTTCAGAGTGTTCTAGATTTTGCAAATGATTCATTGCTTACGTTTCTCTTAAGATTACCGAAGAATTAGAGAAGATAAAGCAGGAAATGGAAGAAAAGGGAAGCAGTATGACTGATGGAGGTAAGCTCGCCTTTCAGGTCCTTCCTCAGACAAAGCTCCCACCTTCTAAGCAGCTTAGTAAGCAAAAACTCTTAATGCAGAGCAACAAAACCAGAATGGCTGGTTTGCAAAAGATTTCCTGCCCTGTTGGGCTGTGAAACCCTGTGCTGGGGCCTTTGTGAAGACAGGGAGTGATTAATTGAGCATTTTCTATCATTCATATGGGGAGAGGTATGCTCACAGCTGGTAAAAAGATAAAGCATATAGGACTTGTCAGTTGTGGCTTAATTCCATTTTAAAATCCGCATAAGCCTAAACCCTTACCTGGGCTTGCATCACATTCTTGAGGAAAAAACTTATTGTGTATAGCTGTAGCCTCAGGATTTGTAAGGCTGCTGCATCTGGTACTCTGAGAAACTGATTGAATCTGTACTAGCGTGTACAGAAAAATAAATCTGTAGAAGATATATTCCTTCCCCAGTGCAAAATGTAATACTGTCACTATAACTATGTTTAAAAAATGTATGTACCCTTTAATGCACATTTTGAGATCCAAAATGTCAAAAATTTGATAACCTTATTTTAATATAGCTTCCATGTGAAATTATGAATCCATAAAGTCATGCCTCCAGAGTATTGTCATTCTTTTGTTCATTTAAGTCTCTCTCCCGATTAACAAAGAGAGCAAATTAGGAAGAAAAAACAATACCTTTCTTTGTGTGGAAAGCTAGCAGGAAACTCTACTGTTTTGCATTTTCTTTTTTAACAGCTCCCTTAGTAAAAATTAAACAAGCTTTAACCAAACTGAAGCAAGAAACTATTCAGATGGACATACGAATTGGCGTGGTGGAACACACATTACTCCAGTCAAAGCTGAAAGAAAAATCAAATATGACTAGAGATATGCATGCTACTATAATTCCAGATTCTTCCATTGTTGGTACCTATTAAATTTATTTGATTTTCTTTTTTATTCTAGGCAAATCTGATTTTGTACTTTTTTTTTTTACATTATGTATCTCATGTTGCATAGAATGTTACAGATCTGTTAATTCTGTCTGTATAAATGCAGTCATATTGCATTTTGTGTCTAAGATTTATTACACAACACTTTTTGTAAAAAAATAAAAATAAAAAGTATTAATAAAAAATTATTCACAACTTCTAAGTATGTTAGGCCAAAGGACTTGGATTGAACGTGGTGGATGTATTGGAAAGCAAAAATCTGGGGTGAAAATGCATTGTTGCAAAACTTTAAGCAATCAGTAAGGCAGATGATGCCTTTTCTCTTTCATAGGCTTCAGATCAGGGCTATCAAACTATAAGGCCCAGGGACTGTATTCAGCCTTTTGAGACCTGCTGAAGTCTACTTTACACAGAGTACTGAGCTATCTTCAGGGTTAGTTACCTAGTTAGTATAAAGGAGCTGGTTTAGCAATGAGCCCTCAGAAATTATGCCACTGTCCAGTCAAGCATTTTTCAGATCTCATTGATTTAAAGGTGACTAATAAACTCAGAGCAATCCTATGCAGTCTGCTCAGAATTAAAGCACACTGTATTCTGCCTTGAGTTGAACGCCTATTCCCAGGAACTTGTCTACAGAATAGATCCTAAATCTCTCCTGTTCAGAGTGAAGGGGTTGTAGCTTGAGCTGACATGCCTTTTGTGCACAAGCCCCATTAGTCTAATGGGTTTTAAATGCAGCTGTTAACCTGATTAAACACATTTTAATTTATTGTCATGCTTAGTCAATTGGTAGATAGAATCATTCAAATTCACCTACTAATAAATTGTAGGTTTGTAAATAAAATAGACATATTAATTTTTGTGCATATTATCAAGAAAAGATAAAAGAAAGCCGTGTATTTTATTATATTGTAGAAAGGCTTCTACAATATTAGGACAATAAACTATACAGAGAGAGAGAAAAAACCACATAGTTCTAACAAAAAACTGAATGGGTGAGTGGACAAAAATAAAGCAGAGTCAAAGGTGTAGTGCCTCTTGATTGAGGTTCTCACATATCTCTACACAAAAAAAATTGGGAAACTGCCCAGTTAATTGTAGCGTCCTTTTTCAAACAGTGGCCAGCGAAGGTGAAACATCCTTGCACACTAATAAAGAATGTTGCTCATTTTCTTCATAAAATTTATATGTTGCATTTTTGGACATAGCCCACCCAGGGCAGTTCATGATATAATAAAAAACAGTAAATACAATGGTCTAAAATAAATCAAAATTATTATAAAGGTCAGTTAAAACAGTCTCAGAGACTAATAAAACAGCTGAAAAACTATATTTTGTAACGCAGTTCTGCAGAGAAAGCATTGAGCAAAAGACAGTTTGAAAAAGATGTTTTAAAAGCTGCTTATTATTAAACACTTAATAATCTGCAGCATAAAAGCCATGTACACCTTTGAGGGGGAGGGTTCCACAGCTGGGGAGCCGCTGCAAAAGTGACCCTGTCTCTTGGGCTCGTCAACTAAATTGACTTCACAGAGAGGCACGTAAGTAGAGACTCTGAGGCTATGCCTGGGCTGATTTGTATGGGATTTGTCAGCAGAACCATGAAATGTGCATCTGTAGCTGTGGAGGATAATGAATGTAACACTGTAGCATCCCTCCCGCTGTGTCCAAGATAACCTTGGGCTCTGTTGAGAAACTCCTTGCTGGCTCTTCAGCAACATACATTAAACCTGCAATCTTACAGAAGCTCACTTGGGAGTCAGTGGGATTTGATTTTCAGCAAACATGCAGAGCGTAGCGTTGCAACGTTTCGATCCTGGGTATGTCCTTACGTGAGAGAGACATGTCATTAAACTCACTTGAGCTTGCTGTTTTTCCTCCTGTCTGAGTCCACACTGCTTGTTTGAAAGCAGTGAGGAGGGGTCTGTTGATTGCTCCCTTTTGGTTCCCCCATCAGCTGCCCAGTTTCACCTGCTCTAGAGTAGCTGGCTGAAAAAGGCAGGCCATGGCAGATGCCTGGCACCCACCCACTGCTCCAGTAATGAGCCCAATGCCCAGTATTGTTGTGAGGGTGTGATACAGCCCTTTTGCCCTGGCAACTGGAGGCCTTGATGCCTTGCATGAAGTGAGGGGCAGGCCAGCCTGTTGCATGGTTGTCTGTGCTTTATTTGAGGTTGCATGGGCTGTAAAAGTGGAGGAAAGATTAGTTGCTGGTGAGACCAGGGTAGTTTGGCTGATCAGGCCTATTTCTTTTTTTAAAAAAAGTTTTTAAAAAGTGGATTAACATTGTTCCTTTGTTCTAAACATGCTTACATGCGCCAGAAAGCAACCTGGAGAGCTACAGCCAGGGAGGGGATTGTGCTCAGAATCAATCTACACATTCTTTGGCAAACTCGCCTAACATTTACAATGCAATCCTATACGTGTCCGTTTAGAACAGGGGTAGGGACGCGGGTGGCGCTGTGGGTAAAAGCCTCAGCACCTAGGGCTTGCCGATCGAAAGGTCGGCGGTTCGAATCCCCGCGGCGGGGTGCACTCCCGCTGCTCAGTCCCAGCGCCTGCCAACCTAGCAGTTCGAAAGCACCCCCAGGTGCAAGTAGATAAATAGGGACCGCTTACTGGCGGGAAGGTAAACGGCGTTTCCGTGTGCTGCACTGGCTTGCCAGATGCAGCTTTGTCACGCTGGCCACATGAACCGGAAGTGTCTCCGGACAGCGCTGGCCCCCGGCCTCTTGAGTGAGATGGGCGCACAACCCCAGAGTCTGTCAAGACTGGCCCGTACGGGCAGGGGTACCTTTACCTTTTAGGCAACCTAAGACCCATGGGCCGGATCCAGCCCAATCGCCTTCTCAATCAGGCCCGCGGACGGTCCGGGAATCAGCGTATTTTACATGAGTAGAATGTGTCCTTTTATTTAAAATGCATCTCTGTGTTATTTGTGGGGCCTGCCTGCTGTTTTTACATGAGTAGAATGTGTGTTTTTATTTAAAATGCATCTCTGGGTTATTTGTGGGGCATAGGAATTCATTCATTTTTTAAAATTTATTTTTCAAAATATAGTCCGGCCCACCACATGGTCTGAGGGATGGTGGACCAGCCCACGGCTGAAAAAGGTTGCTGACCCCTGGTTTAGAAGTTTTAGTGTGGTGGCCCCTGCCTTTTGGAATATTCTCCCAATGAACATTAGGAAGGTGCCTACATTATAGGCCAGTGTGTCTAGATGTTGCAGGAATTCAACCCACTTTGTTCTTGACCTTTGGCTACTGTGCAGGGCCCAGGGGTAACCCGAGTAATGTGGTCTAGGTCCGGTCCCAAGTCCAAGGGTTCCGCAAGGAGTCAGTCCGACAGAGCCAAGGCAGGACACAAGGCAGGAAACCAGGCAAGGTCAGGCACAGGATCACAGGCAGATTCTGGCAAACAGCAACGTTGCTCCCACAGCCTGGGGCGGGGTCCAGCAGTCTTTTATCTCTATCGGGGTAACGGCTGGTCCTGATCCCCCAGTGACTCACCTCCCTGTCTCGCCCAAAGGCGAGCAGTCCTCCTGCAAGTACTTAGGTCTCTCAGACCTCAGTCTCTGCAGCTCGGGAGATGTCGATGGGTTACTAGACCCAGAGGCCACCTCAGCCTCTCCTGACCCAATTGGTAGTGGAGCAGCTGTAAGTGATTGCCCAGCTAAAGGAAATGAGGTAATCCTCGCATCTGGAACCAGGGCAGGCTCAGGCCTCTGACTCGGCCCAGCTGGTGCTTGTTGCAGGGGAACCTGTGCAGACTGGGGCTCTTCAGAATCAGGCCCCAGACTAGGTTCAGATGCCGCCTGGGGCAAAGGATCTGGTACGGCCTGAGACTCCTCTGGCTTCGAGTCCGAGCCCGAGTCCCAGGCCATCACAGCTACGATGGGTGGATATGGTGGGAGTTTTAATCCAACACCCAGAGACCTGAGGTTGAAGAACACTGGTATAAGCATTTAGACACCTGCTTAAAACTCACCCATTAAAACTCAAGCTTTCACTGAGAGGTGAGTCATTTCTGTCAATGTATTTATCTGATATACTGATTTGTGATGTATTTTGCACTTGATTTATTAATGTAATATTATTGGTGATTTTAGGCTGCTGTCATCCCCCCCCCCGCCCCGAATGTAGGCAGACATTTTTGCAGTTGGGCTTCCAGCTAAGTGTGCTCAGCATTGCTATCTTAAAGGCCTTTTTTAATGCACTAAAGGCTTCTTTTTAAACCCTTATGTACAGTAAAAAATTCAAATTTCTCTTGATTATCTGTATGCAAATTCTGACATTGCTGGGAACTTGTCTTAACCTTGCAATAGCTTCCTTAATCAATTTGGGCAGGGTGCTGCGTGTGCTTTCCAGAAAACCTATTTCACTTATATAGATTACATCCTTGCAGCAAGAAAAGTTTTAGGATTGGTGTAGGAGGTTGTGTAGCGGCTGCAAGTGTTCAGAACAAATTAACACTTCCAAAGTAACTGAAATTCATGTGACTTGCCTAACAGTGAGGTGTGTCCACTGAAACAATGTGCTTCATTGTTAGCCATTTATAATTTTGCTTCCTGGATCCTTTCATACAGTGGGTTTTCCCCAACACATTCTTCTGTCTGGGTTTGTTTGTTTTTTTACCACGAGGTTTCCAGGAAAACTGACATCATCCAGCTGCTGTTGATTTTCCTAGTCTCTTATAGTTGCTCAGTTGAAAGTCCCATGTCCTGTTCCTTTAAGCAATCATTGGTTGGAGATTCAAGCAAGAAAGCATTCTTGTTGATGTAGCGCTTAAAAAAGAGGTAGTTTCTGGACTACAAGCAATCCTTTGCTTCAGTGCTTAGGTCACATCTCTTTGGAGTGTAGCTCAGCTGACTTCAGTAGAGTTTAAATGGTGCCAAGTGTAGGTCAGCAATGACTTGGGGCTGAATTCACATGACCAGTTCTCTGGTGATCATTAAGCGAGTTCTCAGCATGCAAACTTTCCCACCCAATAATACTTTCACATAATGATAAAAGCAACATATGTGAAGGCCATTTCATACAATGAAACAGTTTGTATGAACTGCAGGGCGGGGGCTCTCTATGTCCTCAGTCCTTCTGTGGCAATAGACAGTGAAGTG